TAACAAACTCCCTTTTGGCTAAGCCAGGTTTCTACCTGCTCCACACCTGATGTCATATGATGTTAGGTGTAGGGCAGTTGGGTATAGCTTGGACAAAATAGCCTTTTTACTTAATTCCCACCACTCAGCAATTAACCAATTATGTCCAATATACATCTATATACATCTATAAAGGAGGGCTCCAACCATGACTAAGAACCCATACCACCTATTTAACCTTGGCTGATCAATTTCCTCAGCCCCATTCTGAATCTGTTACTTTACTTCAGCAGGATTATGAACCAGGAACAGCTAGACAACATAAGAGTTAGATCCATTGGGATCCATTCAACGTCACACTCTTCTGGTTGTTCCATTAGTGCAAGCATTCCTGCTTGTCAGACAGAGCAATCCGCCCTCTCCTTCCCCCATGCACTGTTCTGGGGGTTCTCCTGACCCTCCAGAATGGACTGAGTGTGTGTGCAGGGGGGGGGGGGCAAGGCCTCATTGCACTAGCAAGAGCTCTGCTGGTGCACAGGGCTAGCTGAATCCAGGCCACTTTAATGTGCATGAATAACTAAGTGCACTAATTTCAAAGGATAACTTAGTTATCCAGTCCTATGCTTCTAATACAATAGGATGGCTCAAGCTTGAGTTATACAAGAGTCATCACATATTGAGCTTACACAGCCCCAAAACTTCCTTCTTAACTCTTAACTTCCTAGCTCTGGTGCAAGCAAAGCATATTGTTGAAGCTCTCACTACTGTCTAGTAAATTTCAGGCGTGGCCAAACTTGGCTCTCCAGCTGTTTTGGGACTACAATTCCCATCATCCCTGACTACTGGTCCTGTTAGCTAGGGATGATGCAAGTTGTAGTTCCAAAACAGCTGGAGGGCCAAGTTTGGCCACGCCTGCGTCTACTTAGACGCAGATACAATTCCAAGGTCAAATCACACAGACTGTCTGCTGCTGTGGAACCTACCTTTTTATTTCATTTAAAAATTATATTTTTTGGTAAAACAATCTGGCAACATGAGAATGGCATCATACACACGCTTAATGAGTAGTCCAATCCCAGCAGGTTCCTATATTTCAATGAAAGAACAGGATGTACAGTTCTAGCCAACCCACAGGATTATTTTGAACCACTAGGTGGATGGACGGAGTGAACTCACAAACTGCTGAGATCATAGCTGTTAAATCTACCCAGCAGAGAAGTAACTTGTGACATGACAGAGACAGATTATACAAACAGATTTCCCCTTTCCCGCTCCTTAAAATATAAGAACTAAATTCCAATACATCAGGCTTCTGCTTTGAAAACCAGTCTAGATAAAATGTTTCTGTAGAATCTGCTGTAAAAACAAAGAGTGCTTCATAAGTTGAAGATGGCTATATGCTTCACAGCTGCTTGAGTGCTGCTGCATTAGCATTACATACCCTTGGAAACTACAGCTTGCTCACCACTGCAGAATGAGCTGCTGGCTCACTTCATACTGCCTATGTCACTGTTTTTTCTTTTTGGCTCCGCACCCCCCAAGGTTGGGGCAGGAGGACAGAAGAAACTGCTGCTAACTGGAGAGCTCTCCATGGTTCTAGAGAAGCACACACACCTTCCTCGGATATGAATTAACCATGATGCTCAAAGAGACAGTGCATATCTCCCCTGTGGTTTAATTTAACTGGCAAGTTCCCAGAGCAGGGCACCTACAGTATTTATCCTTCCTCCTTTAAAGCCTCCTGCAGCTGAAAAAATAGCAGCTGCTCACTCATCACAAATTAAGAGCATGGTGATCATGTTTCTAGTTGTCTAAAGATGCAGAAGAGCCTGGATAAGGAGCAAAACTGATTGGACTGAAAATCTCAGGAACAGGACAGACCTGGTAGATATAGTCACAAAAGGGTAGGACTGGACTTCTTTATACTAATCCTGAAAGCCGTGGGTTGCTACTAGGGATGGAAGAAGATACGGTTTTCTGTTTCACCCTGTATTTAACGCATGCAGCATTTTCTCCATTCTGCTGCAGTTCATCTTCTGCCAAAACTTACATTATTTGTCTCACTGTGCGCTGTGGTAAAATTATGTAACTTGCATATTATAATTACACTGTTGTTACTTTATCCCACCCCATTCATTTCTATGCAAAGGAAACACAATGCAAATGTGGGGTGGTGGAGGCATAATTGATTACGTACAATTTGCAGGTGGAAAGCAACAGCAAACACTGGTCATATTTGCCAGATTGATATGCATTAAAGACATGAGGCAAATAAGCAAACACTAGCAACTTCTACTTGGGTTTCATCAGAGGTCTCCAGCATCCCTAAGCGGCTGTTCACAAGAGTCCATACCATAATAAATCAAGGTGTAAAGTGCCATTGGCACTTCGTCTTTGCACTGCTGGCAAAATGCCATATTTACACAAGCCACACTGTGCACAGCAGCTGCTTGAAAATATTGTGCATAGTTCACTCCTTGCCCAGGTCAGTAAGTGTGGTGGCAATTGCATGAAAAGATTTTCAATAAGAAACAAAAAATAGAACGCTATACATAATAGCAGATGTACATGACCAAGTGACAATATGAAGGCATCCTACATCTGCAGGTTTTTCTGGTTCATTTCTATTGGAATAGAAAAATGACTTTCTTACAGCAGCACACAAAAATTATTCTAGTTCATATTATAATAATAGTTTATTATTTATACCCTGTCCATCTGGCTGGGTTTCCCCAGCACTCTGTCTCCAATAGTGACTACTGAAAATACATGATGTGATAGCAACAGCCACCCTCTCTGCTATCAGTGTCCTGCACTCAGGAATACTGCTTCTGTGTTTGGAAGCTCCATTTATATGAAAATTGTTGTCAAATCACCCATGAATTTGTATGTGGCAGAATTGCTAGTTTGCTTAAGACAACTTGCGTCACCATTTTTCAAATTAAGACTGATTCCTATCTTGTCATCATTAATTCCACATTAAGGAAGCAATGAATGAAATCCTCCCCCATTCTCAAAATGCTCCTGGAACAGTTTCCCTGGATACCACCACTTCCTGTCTACCCACTTTCTCCACAACTACCACACTGCAAATCAGTGTGAAAAGCAATCAGATACAGCAACCCAGCTAAACAAAAAGCATGGCTTTGCATGTCAGAAACACAGTAAGCACAAACACACCATTAAAAATGATAAGGCGCTTCCTATTCTGGAGAGTGCTTGTGCAGCACCAGATTATGATACAGGTGGAAGGGCTGCCTCCCTGTTGCAAACTACTTTTATTCAGCAGGCACTCGCTGGCTTTGCCAGGTGCTGAACCTGGCCCCTAGAAAAGACTGCCAACGTTTTTGTTTGTTTTAACCAGTCCCTAGCTCCCATGCACTTAAGCGCAGCTTGATCTGAAAGAAGTAGCTAGCGATCATATTTCTTTTTCCATGCCAAAAAGCACCCAAACTCTCACTAGCTGCCCTTCTACAGATCCAGCTGTTTTTTGTTTTTTTAAGGAGGTTAAACCAGGCCAGGGAGGTTTCTCTATCTCCCCTCGCCCCTGTAATCTTTTACCACACTTATTTGAGAGTAAGGTCCACCGAACCCGAAGGGAAGTGACTCCGGCGCGAACACGCATAAGCGGTGGAGAATCTCGTGCGAAGGGGTCAGAGGCAAGAGACAGGAAGAGAGAAGCAGACACGCGTCCCCGCAACCGCGGGGGTGTGGGTGGTTGTGGGTGTGGCGGTGGCAGCACGGCCGCCCTTATTCCCCCAAAGCCCTCAGGGGAAGAGCTGCACCCCCCCCCGCAAACACGAGCCACTTCTCCTCCGCCCCCCCAGCCCCCGCCGCCTTCCCGGCCCCCCTCGCCCACCAGTGCCAGTTGTTGACGTTGGTGGCATCCGCGCGCTGCTCCACAATCCAGCGCGGATCTCCCTCTCCCCACTTGGCCATCAGCGCCTCGCCGAAGGACTCGCCGCTTCTGCCTCTGCCCGGCTGGCTGGCTGGCTGGCGAGCGCCCGTCGCCTCGCTCTCGCCGCGCGTCTGGAAGCTACTAGAAGCGCCGCCGGCAGCCGCGCCGCCTCCCAGCTTCCGGCAGCCGCCGGAGAGCTTCCTTCCGTTGCTCCCCCCCCCCCTGCCGCCGCTCCTTACTCCCCCAGTACCATAGAGGGGGAGATCTATAAGCGTAACACACAGACACGCGCAGCCTGGGCAGGGGAGGAAACTGACATGAACACCGAGGGAAGCGGGAGGCACGTTATTGGGCCAGAGTGCATAGCCGTAAAAGCAGGTCTATATGTTGCCTGCCTCGCTTCTGGGTGCCGCCCTCCTCCTTCTCCTGGAGCAAAAGTGACAGCTCCCTGTGGCAAATCCAGGATTTGAAGCGAAGCCGTGATTTGGCCAGCGGCCGAGTGTCCACCAGAAACAAAAGGGAGCGGCCTCTCGACAGGCTCTTTCCTACTCAGACCTGTTTTCGCGTGGGAATTAAGTGTTTAAAGACTTGAAGCCGCATCTACGCCGTCTAAGTGAGGGTTGGGGCTGGGGGAGAGGGCGGGGTCTAGAATTTCCTAATCTCTGCTGGGAAGCATAGCTGTCAACGTTTCCCTTTTTAAAAGGGAAATTCCTTTATTCCGAATAGGATTCCTCGCAAGAAAAGGGGAAAGTTGGCAGCTATGCTGGGAAGTGTCGCTCTATTTTTGGAGAAAATCCAGCTTCCTTTAACTGAAAGGGAGGAAGTTCACCGCGGAAGTGAAGGACTGCGGTGGTGTGTAACTCTTCGTTTTAATCTCTGCAACTCAGCCTGTGAGGCACGTAAAACGCTCCCGGAAAGGCCTCGAGAGACACAGGTTCGGACTGGCCTCCCACTGCCATGTCGACGTTCCTTGGCGTGTTTCACCTTGGAGATGCCAAGAGACAGGGAGATGCCGCCTGCCTGCCTTCATCCCTAACGCTGGGCTTCTTTGGACTACAACTCCCGTCATCCTTGGCTGGGGCTGATGGGAGTTGCAGTCCAAAACCACTGAGGGGGTGGGGCAAAGGTTTCCCGCCACGGCGCTGCGGCGTTCGATCCAATGCCCGGGCTGTGTGCGTAGGCTTAACATTTGCGCGCCACTTTAACCTTTCCTTACCTCTGTGGCTCCTCTGCTTCTGGTTCCTCGCCTTGCCCCTTGTCTGGGCCGGAGCCCTTTCACTCCTAACCTAACGAAGCAGCACAGCCCCTTTCAAAAGAAGCGGCGCGTAAACGGGAGTTTTGCCTCCGCCCATGGCCCGTAGTGACAGAAGCGGAGCGGGGGAGGAAGGAGAGCGAGAAAGGCTCGGCGCTGAGGGCAGCCCGGCTTCCTGCCTGGGAAGCGCGGCACAGCCTCTCCCGATGTAAAGCGTCGGCCTGAGAAACGCCGCCGCGCTGCGCTCTGTAGTCGAAACCGATGGCTGGGGAAGCAGCTGGAAAACTACCCCTCCCGTGATGCTTTTCGAAAGCAACCGCCTTTCTCTTTCCCTGCCTGAGGAGCCGAGGAACACGGCCCGCAGAAGGGCGCAGGGCCCAGCGCCGAGCATGGACGGGGGACCTGCGTGGTGCTGATCGGATCCGTGCCCGGCTGGTCGTCGCTCCCCGTCCTGGCGGCCCTGCTTCTCCGAGGGTAGGCGGCTGTCTTCTCCCTCCGTCGCGGGAACGGGGTCTCCGGCGCTTCCTCTGGCGGGGGGCTTTCTGAGCGAGGAGGCGCAAGACCGTGTCCTGAGGCAAGTGGAGATGCACCGGGCTCCTGCTTTCTGCCTCGCCCCTTCCTGGCGCTTGGGCTTGGCCAGAATTGGTCCCAGCCGGTTATCTCATGCCCACCCCCCGCCAGCAACATTGGCCGCTGCTGTTTATACGGAGTCATGAAGATGGACATCGGGATCTTCCGCCCCTGGGGACGCTGCTGCCTGAGGCAGTCGCCTCACCTTGCTTCATGGGTGTCCCGTCCCGGCCCTGGTTACCCGTGTTGCCTGCTGCCGCCTTACATTCTAGCATAGGCGCCTCTCTCTAACCTCTCTCTCTCTCTCTCTCTCTCTCTAATGAGATTATAGTCTAATATAGGCAGAGAAGCAAGTAATGGAGGAGACGCAATGAGAAGAAAGGTTGGGTGGAATGGACTTGCATGTCTCTTAAAGTCATGTTGCAGTGGAAACTTATGGGGAAGATGGAGCTACTGCCCCCCCCAGCTGTGGAGGCCAATCCACCCAGTGCCAATGGGGCAGTGCCCCAGCAGCATCAGTCCGGCCTTAAGACAGCTGCCAGCCTATTTGCCTTCTTGCTTATATTCAGTCCAGGGAGTGGCGCTTCCTGTCAGCTTCCTCCTCCTCCTCATAGAACTGAGCAAGGAAGAGCAGGAAGGAGATGAAACTAGAATGGGATGGCTCTACCTCACACTGATCTTGGTGTGACCTGCTGTTGGCCTCCTTGTCTTCTGCCTTGCCAGCTGCAATGGGCACCATTCACCACTCTCTCTCCCACTAAGTGGTGGGAAGTTAAGGCCAAATATCACAAATGCAGATTTGCTTGCAGATTTGTTCTGGCAGCAGGTGTAGGATTGCCTCCTGTGTCATTTCGGGTGGTGTGTTTTTAAACATGCCCTATTGGTTAGATCGATCAGTTGCTCAGTGAAAGACAATAAGCTTCAGAGTGAGCCAGTAAAAATAGATCAGCTATACCTTGAAGCTGTACTGATTTCTAGCTCTCCATGAATTTAGAGCTACAGTGGTGCCCTGCAAGACGAATGCCTCGCAAGACGGAAAACCCGCTAGATGAAAGGGTTTTCTGTTTCTGAGTTGCTTCGCAAGACGATTTTCCCTATGGGCTTGCTTCGCACAGCTAGTCTTGTGTTTTTTTCCCCGCCCCCCCCCTTTTTCTAAGCCGCTAAGCTGCTAATAGCCTTTTAGCAGCTTAGCCGCTAATCCTTTAATAGCCGCTAAACCGCTAATAGCGCTAATCCGCTTAGCCGCTAATAGGGTTGCTTCGCAAGACGAAAAAACCTCTAGACGAAGAGAATTGCGGAACGGATTCTTTTCGTCTTGCGAGGCACCACTGTATTGTATGCAAATATTTGATTCAGGATTATTAAACTGTGGCATCAAGAAAACAAGTGTAGTGGCTCTGAGGTTACTCTTGATGTCAGTTTTGGCCACACTTCTATGGCTGGTAAATCCGCTTTGCTTTACTTAAAATTAACAGCACAAACTGAGGAGCACTTCTTAAGACACTTCCTAGGCAAAGTGCCACTGAGAACTTAACCAGACTTTAAAAAAATAAGCCTATAATTGAGCTGGTACCATCATTTCACAGTCTTTGCTTTTCCTTATCTGTTTGCTACGTCCTAAGTTTATTTTGCATATTCCCTGATGGTCAATGCATTTTTGAAAAAACAAAACAGAAGACCTATGGTGTGGGTCTCTTTCTGAGGAGTTTGAACAAATGCAGTTGTATTGTAGGACTTGGCTGTAGTCAATGGATTATGTGATGTGCTCTGGGTGGAAACTGGAAGCATGTAGATATGGGTCATGGATAGTGTGGTGGTCAGGGATTATTTCTTAATTGACCAAAGGTAATATATATGCAGTAAAGAAAAAAGTCTTATTTTCAGATGAACAGAATAAAGGTTGATGAGGAAGAATACTGGCACAGTTCCAAGTGTAAAGCATTTACGTTTGATGATGAAGACGATGAGCTCTTTCAGGTACAGTTCCTAGTCAGAATACTGAGAATGCACTATGCAGTGTCTCCTTGCCTGAAATGTTAAGGGAAGCAGAAATCTGCATATAGTGTAGTCATTTTAAAATTATTGATAGATATCTTTCCATTGAAGGAATTGAGAAAGTAAAGTTGAGGAATTGCTATACAGTGGTACCTTGGGTTACGTTACCTTTGGGTAACGTAATTTCAAGTTACAAATGTGGCAAACCCGGAAATATATACTTCCGGGTTTCGCCACATCCACAGAAGCGGCGCCTCCGCATACAGACTTTTCGGGGTAAGTACGGACCCTGGGACGAATTAAGTTCGTATCCGGAGGATGCACTGTATTTATATGAGCAGGAAGCATCATGCATGATTGAATGTGTGCACTTCACAAGATATGTGGCACAGAACTGGGATTCCTGATCATCTCATTCTTCATTCATTAGCAGAACACGTTTCTAGCCCTTGTGGTTGTGAAGATGTGCTTGAAAGTGAGCTTGCATCTGCAGGTTCAGAAAATTGGTGTTGTGCAAAAGCATATTTCCCTACATCATAGCCTCCAATAGTCCTTACTCCAGATATATATTTTAGTCTTTTCTTGCCACATCATTTTTTCAAAGACCTATTTTCCTGCTACTAAATTGTTCCCTGCCAAACCATTTTAATGTCTTATAAAAGTTGAAAAATGGGTACCCAATAAAACAATGTAATAGTGCTGCAGGGCAAATAGGCCTTTTTTAAATGAGGTGTGAACTTGACATATAACATTCTTTCACAATTTGCATCTAGTATATAAGGATTTGTTTGACTTTTTGTGGGTGGCATGTATCTATAAAACTTTATCTACATTTTGAAATGAGTATTTTAGATTTTAAAAACTATTTAGAGGTCTTTTGTTGAGTAAGTGGTATATAAATTTTGATGGATAAATAAATTCAGCTTGTGCACAAACATAGAATACATCTGTTCTTGGGATACCGGTTCTTTAGAATGAAAGTGTACAGTCTATCTGGATGGAATAGGGCTTGCCTTCATTTTCACTTTGGTTTTGTTCATAGCTGAAGGAGTCAAAACGAACAGTGAACAGCCTCCGAGATATTGTAGATGATGACGATGATCTTGAGAAGTTCAGCTGGAGTGGGGAGCCTGTGGGCAGTAAGTGGAGCAGAATGTTTTTGCATCTATCACCCATTCTTTGAATCTGAATTTGATTATTGCTGCCCTCTGTCAAGAAAAATCTCATTAGAGCTACACCTACTAGGAAATATGGCCTAGTGAGGTTTAGTATGCTTAACATTGAGCAGGAAAAGTGTCTAATAGTTTCATACATTACCACAATTGTTTATTTTGCCTACTGCGTGCTTGAATTCCCCCTACCCCTGTTTCTGACAAACAAATGCAGGGAGTAAAATGACTGCTTCTTTCAAAAACAAGTAGATTGATGGTACATGGGGGGGGGCAGGAATCCAAACCATGGTGTGTTTTGTGAAAACCCGGCTTGTTCCCTTCACTCATTCTGCACTACTTACCCCAAATCCTGAGTGCATCATTCCTATGAGCCTCCCTATCAAAGAATTTCCCATGAAGGTAGTCTGTGCTTTGAATATTCCTGATTTTCCTCTGTTTTCCATATGTTTTCCAAGAAAGAGAGTTTTTTAAATATCAAGGATAGTTTAAGAGTTAAATGTCTCTTATGAGGTGATGATTTATATAAGTAAAACATGAGAGCTAGGCCCAAAAATCATGTATTCCAGAATCAATAACCCTTCTCTGCTCTAGAATTTTAAAGGCCTCATCTTATGCTTGCTAGAGAATTTACTCAGATAGTGCTCTTTCTCTCTCTCTCCATAGGCATTTCCTGGTCAATCAAGGAGACCGCCTCCAGCAGCAACAATACTGCTGAGGGAAGAGACTTGGGTGGGCAAAGAGGCTTTTCTTCATACGGAGCATTTCCCAAGCAAGCCTCTTCTTACTCACTGAGCAGCTTTTTCAAAGGTAGGACCTTTACTGGGACTTAGAATCACAGAATTGTAGAATTGGAAAGTACCCTGCAAGTTTTCTAGTCCAGCCCCCTGCAATGCAGGAATCCCAACTAAAGCATCCCTGACAGATGACCATCCAAGGAAGGAGAGATGGCTAGCTGCCAAGGGAGTCCATTGCACTTTTGAACAGTTCTTACCATCAGAAAGTTCTTCCTGATATTTAGTTGGAATCTCCTTTCTTGTAACTTGAATTCATTGGTTCAGGTCCTATCCTATTTCTTCCATGTGACAGCCCTTGAGATATTTGAAGATGGCTACCATATCCCAGGCTAAACATACCCAACTCAACCATTCCTTATAAGGCTTGATTTCCAGACCCTTAATGATCTTGGTCACCCTCCTCTGCATATGATCCAGCTTGTCAATACCCTTCTTAAATTGTGACTCCCAGAACTGGACACAGTATTCCTAGATGTGTAATGGGTTTTCAGTGTGAGGTGATGAATCTAGCTTTCTTAGCCTTTCTTACTTGCTCTTTCTTTTCAGGAAGAAACAAACATGGGAGCTTTCAGTCACTTTCAGATGGTAAGAATCTAGATCTTTGTCCCTAGATTGCTTGAATGGTCGGCTTCTCCTTGCACAACACAGTGGAAATTGGCTCCACTTTCTCCATTTCCCTGGCTAAAATTCTGACCATCTCTCTATTTGAGTACTGCAACCTGCTTCTTTCTGGCTTTCCCTTCCCATCAGAGTACTTCCATATCTATTCAGAGCCCTACTTCCCAAACAGAATATATGGGAAGGTAGCTAACAGAGAGTAGCCTCAGAGATCATTATATAACTGTACCCTTGAAGCTGGCACTCCTTGCTCCCTTTTGGCTTTTAAGGTGATAAGTTGTGTTTGTTGCAGTTTAGTCATCCAGGATTTTCGTTCTAATGTTTTTACAACTTCTGTTTGTAACTGATGCTGTTTTATTGTGACTTCATAATTTTAATGGTGCTTCTGTTTCAAATGCAGTGTTTTTGAGCTACTTGGTGGACCAAAATGACATGGAAAGGAGGGCTCTAAATTGTGTGGTTTTTAAATAAAAAATGCTGTTGTTCTCTCTTCAGCTCTTACAGACACAGGATTTAAAAGTTACGCCCCAGAACTGCGCAGACCAAAAGCAGACTACAAGGTAGGTATATTTTTGGTAGCCTGGATTCAGGATAATATTAAGGGGTGAAAGGGTTTGAAGCTGCAAACACTCCTCTTCTTCGCCAAGGGCTGCTCTCTGGATGCTCACTCCACAGAGACTAGGGCTGTGATGCTGTGCATGCTTATTTGAGTGTAAGCCTCATTGAACATACTTGGATGATGTCAGGGTTTACAGCACAATCCTGTGCATGTTCCACTCTGTTCAAGTGGGACTTGCTCCCAGGTACTGGTTCACAGAATTGCTGTCTTAGAAGCTCTCTACCTTTAATAAGCAAGGAGATTCTCTCTAGTGGGTGGAAAAGGAAAATGGGGAACCATGCTCCTGCGTTGTCCCTTTTCTGGAAACTGCCATCATAACAATGTATTAATTTTGTCCATTTAAATAATGGATAGCAAATCTCACTGAACATGTTGGCATCAGGGACGGCTAATGTGTAGTGGGCATCAACCTTTATTTTTTTACATTTATATTCTGCCTTTCATCCAGCCTGGAACCCAGGGTGGCTTACATGTGGTTTCCAGGCAGTCTCTGCACTGATCAGACCCAAACCTACTTAGCTTCTGCAGGGTGGTAGCCTCATGGGGCTTTCAGACCATATCCAGGGACCATGCAGCCCTTCGACTTTCTTTCACTGTCAGTGACCAGCGGCATAGCCTGGCATGATACACATTCAATTTTAAGCCAATCCTAATGCATGGCAGACCATATGCAGGCTTGCAGTCCTTTACTTGCAGAACATCTTAAATATGTCATCCCTCCCACAAAGCTGTCCTCACAGGCTGTGACTGCTTTTATTGTGCTGTGTTCCAGACCTGTCTTGGGTGCTTTTGCGTGCAATACTAGTTGCAAATGACTCTCCTATGAGTCATTTGATGGGATGCAAGCAATGTTACTTCTGGCACCCTGCTGTTGGGGTATCTCAATCATACCTATAAGACGAAGGAGTTTGTCCGAATCTGTGCTTCTCAAAATATTTTGAGTGTTAAAGGCATCATGGTTTGGTTTTGTTACATTTCAGGATTATAGCAGTGACTGGAGCCCTAAAGACACAGTAAGACGGCTGCAGAGAGGCAAGGTGAGACTTCTTCCCTGCTTCTGAAAGGGCCAGCCTTTGATTTTTGGGTGGTGCCTCCCATGCATATCCATTTCTTCTGCTCATGCATGTCAACACTGGAGATGTGGCTGTTGGTGGCTTTTCAGAGTTCTCTGTAAAGAACAGCCCTGTAATTTCCCTGTCTGAAAAGGAGGAGTTGCGGTCCTGCAAATGTCAGGAATGCCAGGGGATTATAGCAGAGGTAGCAGACTCTGCTCCACAATTGAAGCATGTCCCAAATGGCAAGGAATAATATGTTATTTCACTGACAGCTTTGGAGCAGGTATCCTGAGAAAGCATCCATAGATCTGGTGCAGGGCTCTTGATGCTTTCCGTTGGTAGATCAAAGGGGAACCAAGTTATTTTTGGTGAATATAAAGGTAGTACACAAGCTGCTTCTGGCTGCTTTAGAACTGGCAATGAGCTGATATGCCACACAACATCTGTGTTTAGGAAACCTCTCTGTAACCTTTAGAAAGTGAATTCTTTGTTCCATTTTAGTCTTAGAGGTTAGGATGAGAAAATGGGGGTATAAGAAAGGAAAGTTCCCAGGGGCTATAAAGGCTCAGTTTCTGCTTAGTTTATCAGCTCTGTAGATTTAGACCAGCGGTAGTCAACCTTTTTATACCTACCACCCACTAATGCATCTTTCTTGATGGTTTAATTTCATTACCACCCACCAGTGCTCGATGGAAGGAGGATTCAGCTTGTGTCGCAGAACCCCCTACTGCCCACCTAGAATCCTGAAATGCCCACTAGTGGGCAGTAGGGACCAGGTTGACAAGCCCTGATTTAGACAGTGGGTTCCTAACAGAGACTTTGCGTAGTGATCTAAGGCCTGCAGTTGGGATAGAGTGACCAAAATTCTTTTTCTGAAAGAGGATTCCTGTTGTACAAATCCCCAGTAGGGACTACCTCTCAGTGTGTGTATCTGCTCACATTGCAAATTCATGGACATAGAAGCACATGATAAGCTGTTTGTCTTGGTGGCTCAGAATAATTTTAATTGTGCCAAGACTACCACTCTGGCAACAAAGGCTTCCATTGGTGTGTCTTGGCTCCTGAACTGCATGGAGAACAAATGACACATACAAATGATTAACCAAGTGCAGCTCCACTTCTGAGGAGTTTTATGATGAGCCACCTGTGTAGCTGCCTGTCTGAAGCAGGCCTCCACTCAGATAATCCAGGTTCCTCTCTAATCCTTCAACTATTGTCATTCCGTTCTAGATCTGCTCACTGGAGAGGTTTCACTCCCTACAGGACAAGCTGCAGCTACTGGATGAAGCTGTTGCAGTGCATGATGGGAATGTCATTACAGCCGTAAGTGCTGTGATCTTAAAATGTAGGGCAGAACAGGATGGGGGATACATGGCTACAGCCTAGTATGATCCCATTAACTTCTGGTTCTGTGGCCATTTGCATCTGAATGGTGGGGGGTTTACAATCAGTTTTCATATATTGGTTCTGATTAGCTGGAATTGAGTTTTAGATACTGGTTTCGTTGATCATTGGAAATATTAGGTTGCATTTTAGGAGACAAGGCATTTCCTTAACTTTCCTTGCCTCCAAGGATATGAGGTATAAATGAACCTTATGAAGCTCTTTGAATATTTTCCCTAAAATGTCCCAAGGTCCAGATGCCATGTAAATGTTTAGGTTTCTAACGCAGCAGAAAAACGCAAGTGTGCTTTTTCATATACAAGGTTCCACTATAAGTCACCTCCCAATTAGGTTAATGAGATGGGAAGATTATTTCCCTGACGCCTTTGAGAACTTCTGCCCGGCTAGTTTATTCTCCTGGGTTTTGTAGGCCACTAGCTTTACCATGCATATGAAATCAGTTTCTCTCCAATTCTGGGCAGATACCACAAATCAGATGCTGTTGCATCTGCTTCCTAAGCAAACATTTCCAGTTATGCCTGAGGATTGTGGCAGAAAATAAGCACCTTGTTGTCCAATTTCTTTCAGATCCTAATATTTCTGAAGAGAACCTTGAAGAAAGGTATGTGTGCCTGAAAAGTGGCTAGACCCAGTGGCAGGGGGCCAGGGCAGATTGGCTGTCTTTCCAGACCATTAAGATTACTACTTTTTTTTTTTTGCCTCCTTATCACAGCATTTGTGTTCATCATAATTTTAGTGCCAACAACTAGAAGGGGATAGCTTTGTTTGGAGTGGGAGGGGAACAGCCTTGCTGCAGAGGTTGACTATAGCGGCACTTTACTAAGCATGGAGAGATTGGGGGATGAGGATTGTTGTCACTCACCATTAGAGATCTGATGAGTACCATTTGTGCATCACGTTCTAGACCAGGCTTCCTCAGCCTCAGCCCTCCAGATGTTTTTGGCCTACAACTCCCATGATCTCTAGCTAGCAGGACCAGTGGTCAGGGATGGTGGGAATTGTAGTCTCAAAACATCTGGAGGGCCAAGGTTGAGGAAGCCTGTTCTAGACAGCATTATTGCAGCTGACATATTGGGAGGGAGTGGCGGATGGAGAAGGAGCTGCACTTCCTCTGTGGCAATATTTTGCCTTTTGGATGGTTGGAAAATGCAATTTATTCACCTTGGAAATGGTGCCTTGACACAGACATTTGGGATCCAAGTAAGCCACTGAGTTGACAAAAGGCTGCCTCAGGTGACCGATTAGCACTGACATTTGGATTCAGTGCCCAAAATCAATAACTTGATTAATCCAAGAGGGCCACAGTTTAGGCTTTCACCTGTTCTGACAAACCATATGATGACAACTGTGTGCATCCCAGACCATTAGCCACCTGTATTATTGGAAATGAAATCTATTAAGATAAAAGAAAGTGCTGTGCCATCTTCCTGCTAGTACCTGATGTGAATGAGAATGATTCACTCCTGACCAGGCCAGTCAAGCACTTCTTGTCTGTTCATCCAGAAATCCTGTTCAGAGAGCTGGAGCTGCGGCAGGTGGCCTTGCGCCATTTAATACACTTTCTCAAGGAAACAGGGGACCAAAAACTCCTCCTGGACCTGCTAAGGTAAGATCCCAATGGAGCAATTCTTGTTTTGCAGGGCAGTTTTACCTGCCAAGTAATATGTATAAAAATGCATATGCTAGAGTCAAATGTACGTAAAAACTCTTATATCAGTGAAAATAAGATACAATGATGCATTATATTCAGTTGTTTTGCGAGAATGTGTATTTTGGAGCAAAAATAGAAAATTTGTATATTAGCAGAAATTCACAGTCAAATGCTGATGAATTTTCAAGAGGACTTAAAAAAAATCACAAACTAATGTGAAAATCTGGGGAACTGAATTTTAAGAATGGAAGAATGAGAAACTGAAATGGAGAGATTTGCCCATCCTTAGTGCTTAGCAGGACTGATGCTTGTTTTTCCTCTGCAGGTTCCTGGACAGGACAGAGGAGGTTGCAGTGAGTATCCATCATGCCCTGGCTCACTTCTTATTTGTAGGAAACAAAGATGTCCTGAGATATCCACTTAGGGCTGGCCCCAGCAAACTGAAGCAGCTGCCTGAGGTGGCAGAATCCCATGGGGTAGCACCCCACAAGCATTCCTGCTGCTGCCAGGGTTGCAGGATGGCTTCTGGTGGGATCTTGCCAGAAGCCACAGCCACATAACCCCAGGAAGCGAGGCTTCAGCTGCAGGGAGGCGGCAACACCTTTCCACTGCACCTCAGTTGATGAAACGGGACAGGCCACCCCTGTATCCATTCAGTATATATTTACTCTGCACATCCCACTAGTTTAAGCCAACCCTTCTTGAGCCTGCTGTGTGTGTCTGTTCCTGCCTTCTCCAGTTGACACAGTACCGTGAACACCTGATGATCCAGGATGTGGAGAAACGAAAGGAGTTTCTGAAAGGTTGCGTTGGGTAAGTAGGTTATGCAGACATTAGTTTTTATAGGATGAAATGAGTTTGAGCCCTAGACGTGAGGTGATTGCCAGCAAGCAGAATGGCCTTACTGTTCCCACAAACCAGGAAGGGGAAGAGCAATGAAGAAAAGCTTTAAAATTTAGAAAAATTTAGAAAAATTGTGACAGCAGTCCCTAACATGATGTTAGATGTGGAGAAATGAATAGAGAGACATTTTTTTCTCTCTCTCTCCTAGTACTAGAACCCAGGACCATCCAGTGAAGCTGAACAGTGGTAGGTTCAGGACAGACAAAAGTAGGATTGGGGAACCTGTGGCTTCCAGTTGTTGTTGGACTCTTTAACTTCCACCAGCCCCAGTCAATAGGACCAGTGGTCAAGGATGATGGGAGCTGTTGTCCAGCAACATTGGGGGGGCCAGAGGTCCCCCAACCCTGTTAAAGATCTTAAGACCAATCCCTGGCATTTCCCAGTAGGCCAGAAATTGAAAGCAGCTCATTTTTAGGGTGGGCAGGGAGCTCCAAAAATAACCACCAACGTAGTTCATAATATACGCTTCAACATTGTCATGCACAACAACCCAATTGGAACTAAGCATGGACAAAATCAGCAAACCAAAGGGAGGGAGAAATCCAAAACTGAAGAGAAACTCTTCTCCAATTTAGGTTACCATTTTCATTGGAAGATGCTGCTCATGTTCAAGACCATTATACGCTTCTGGAGAGGCAGATCATCATTGAGGTAAGGTCTCTTGCTCCGCCTTTGGGCACATGTAACTGGGAGTTCTCCCTCCTGACTCTGATCTGTTTGTTGTAATACCAAAGCTTCCTACTTGGATTGAAAGGGGGGAAATTACATGGGGCTTGGCTTAATCAAGCAAGTCACATCTAGCATGTAGGATGGTTTTCTTGCTGTAGCCAGTCCATCATGATAGATGGCGAGAGACTGTTTGGCCTTCAGGTCATGCTGATAACTTACAGCCCTGCACTGATTTATAAGACTTGGCTGTAAAAGATTACTATTCTTGCTTTTAATGAAACAACCTGAAACTCCTACTGTTATTAATAATAAGTAATATGCCATTGGAAGCCTGTCTTTAATTATTTTTATTTTATTTCTGCTATTTTTATACCACTTAACCACCAAAGTTTCTAAGTGGTATACATAAAGATTACAAAAAGCATCCAGTGGATAAAATCATACAGTGGCTCTGTCTCTGATAACCTTCCACTGTCAGGCATTTTTAGACAAGCTTCGGGCATATGGTGTCTGGTATGGCTATTGTCAGTTTGCTGAAATTAACTATGTTTATCAATTTTATTGTTGTGTTTTACCTGTCTTTACCACTGCATTTTTGTGTTTTAATTTGTATCTTCTTGTTAGCTGCCTTGAACACCATTTGGTGGAAAGGCAGGATACAAATTTTAACAAATATACTACTTGCATTCCACCTTTCCTCCAAGGTGCTCAGGATGACATGCAAGAAGTTTCCCTTTTCCCTCCTGCACAACAACCCTGTGAGGTAGCTTGAGCTGAAAGACAGTGGCTGGACTAAGATGACTAAGAGTGCAGCCCAGTGTCCACTTACCTGGGAGTGAGCCCCACTACCTGTAGTGAGCCTTATTTCTGAGTAAATGCTTGTAGGATTTCTGCCTCAGTATGCCTCATGATTTGAGCTGAGATTTAAAACTGGTCATCCGTGTCCCTATTATATTACCTTATAATTATCCTTGTTTTTCACGCATCATGTTTTTTCTGGTCTTCCCCCCCCCCCCCAGGTAAATGACAAGCATTTAGAGTCAGCTGGGCAGACGGAGATATTTCGGAAGTACCCTCGAAAGGCCTCCATCCTAAACATGCCACTGGTCACCACGCTTTTCTACTCCTGCTTCTATCACTACACGGAGACTGAGGTTAGGGTAACAAATATGGCGGGTCCTCTGTATTAGTTACTGAAGCCTCATGCCCTGCTGAAGAAAAGGGGGAGCAAGATTTGGCTCACATGGCCTGGCCAACCAAAGTAGCCTGTTGCCTCCAAATTGGCAATATTCTGTTGCCAGTATTGCAGGATTTCCGAGAAAGTGAACAGCTGGTCTAGGTATAGGGATACTGTATGGGAGACTCCTTCCTGTCTTACGTACTTGGTTCAACCAGTTCACATTATAATAAATATTAGCTATAACTGGAAGAAAGTAATGCACCATTAGTAATGCAGTGGTTGTTAAAGGTTCGGAACATCATATTCCAAAAGTAGCATAATAATAAATAATAATAATAATAATAATAATAATAATAATAATAATAATAATATAAAATAAATAAAGAGTGGCTAGCTAGAGGTTAGCTAACAAGTTAAGTGAGCATTGGGATTTTAAAATAATAATTTACTGAAAGGAAAGGTACAATGTACAGTTATTTTTTGTGTTTGCAAATGTGTGTAAAGATGAACAGATGGATAGATGGATTAGATGTGAAAATGCTAAAATAAATTTTCTGGCATTATAGACTTTAAGTCAGTTCTTGATTTGTTGTGGCAGAGCTAAAGGAGACTAGGTTTTAGAGAGCATAGAGTGCAAGACTCGGACTTGGTCGTGAGAAAGAGGTGATCAGAATATTGCCAGTTTTCTATAAATTGCCTGCCATCTATAGAATAGAATATTACAGAATAGTTGAGGTACCAACTAGGATGGGTCATCGCTATCCCCTCTCCTTTGTTAAATTTGCCATGTCTCTTCCTTCCAGGGAACATTCAGTAGTCCAGCAAACTTGAAGAAAACCTTCAAGGTAAGCTGTCTGCTGGGTATAATATCTGTACATTCTAGGAGAGGGCAACACTGTTAGAAATGTGCAGTGGAAATAAGGCAAAGGTGTGCTTTGGGTGAAGGAATTAAGTCCTACAACAGATGACCAAGTCTAGCCGCAGCAGCTCAGTATAGCAAAGTTCATTGCACTGGCCTTTAGCACTTCAGTTTGGCATTGTGCCTTCCAGATATTGCTGCACTTCATCTAGTTGCTGGGTTGTACCTTAAGAATTGATTGGTGCCAACCAGGAGCTCGCAACCCAACCTGCTGTCAATGCCTTTTCTAACATTTCAATGTTTCTGCCTTCTAGATCCCAGACAAACAGTATGTGCTGACAGCCCTGGCTGCTCGTGCCAAACTCCGGGCTTGGCATGATGTAGATGCTTTGTTCACCACCAAGGTGAGTCAGGGTGGTTTTCTGAAAGCTTGGGTCAAATATTGGGCCTTCATTGGCTCACAGATCACCCGGGATCTGCCAATAGATCCCAGTCTATATACTTGCCACCTCTGCTTTAAGATACCTGCCCTCCTGTAATACACTAGAGATCATCTCATCCATCAGTAGATGCTTGTTTCAGGCCTCTTTCACTCTTTCCCTTTAAGGAAACAGACTTGAGAATACAGTGATAGATGTGGGAGGCTGTTCATAAATTCTGCAGTCAACCTCCATTGGAAAAGAGTGGAATCCTCAGCCAAAGGAAGGATGCTTTTGCCATTTGAGTGTATAAGGAGGGGCATGCAGACAGAGGAGGAGCTGTCTTGAACATCCTTTGTTTGCTGTTAAGAGGTTTTTTGCTGCATTTCCCATCCTGAAATCTCTGGGTTGCTTTTGTCACAAGATCTAATGTTAATGTGATTTTCGTATTGTGATTTCAGAACTGGTTGGGCTACACTAAAAAGAAAGCTCCTATTGGTTTTCATCGGGTAGTGGAGATCTTGCAGCGGAACAATGCCCCAGTACAAGTAAGTGAGTGACTTGCCCTGTTTCAGCATACCAGTATCCTGCCTCTGAAGTTAGAGACTTCTAACTCTACCCTGCAATTTCTTCATGTATACCACAAGTATATTCATCTTCATTTGGCTGTGCATAAGATATTGGAAGGGACAAGCCCCTCTGGCTGTGCTTGGTTTTCCTACTCCATGATGGTTTTCTCGATCAAATCTATCTTTGAGTTAATTTATCTTTGTTTGACGCATGGGGTTACTGGCTTGACCGTGTGCCTTTTGCATTATATATATATATATTTTTATCCAGAAATATAAACAAGAATAAATTTAAGCAAAAGCAACTCCTTTTGATGGAGGAAGGCAGGTGCAGAGAAATGTGGTTTACAGCTAAACTTGGGAGATGGAGAAGAGAAGTTTTGGGTAGCTCTGCTCTGTTGATGCTTCCTGTCTTTCTTATGCAGGTCTTACAGGAGTACGTGCGCCTGGTAGAAGATGTTGAGACCAAGTTGAACCTTGCAATGAAATACAAGTGCCATGACGTTGTTATAGATGTGAGTCCTTGCTGTGTGTGGTGGGGAGGAGGCAGCTCTTGTTCCTGACTGTTCTGGGTAGTTTGTCCTTGGACATAAGACGCTGCCTTTATACAGAGCCCAACCATTAGTCCATCTATCTCAGTGCTGTCTACACTGACTGGCAGCAGCTCTCCAGGGTTTCAGACAGAGGACATTCCCAGCCCTACCTGGAGATGCCAGGTGTTGAAACTGTTTTATACAAGGCAGCTGCTCTACCCCTTGAGCTACATTTCTTCCCCAGAGGATAAGAACTACTTTCTTTTCAAAAAGGTTGAAGTGAAAGCACTGATTCTCCACTGGGGCAGTGCTCTGTCCCAAGGTTCCAGATACAGACCAGTGTGAAAGATTTACTGATACCCCTAAGGACCCAGTTGCAGGGATTCCAAAGAAAGATGCCCAGAATACCTGAGTGATCTGTCCTAGTGCTTTATTATAGAGAGATACATCAAGAGACTCACATACAACAATACAATGCTGGCTTCCTTGCTTCACCTCAGAATGGATGCTGAAGTAGCAAGCACCATGGTTTTATCCATGAGGGTTTAATATGTTAAGTGTAACTTATACAAAAAGCAAGCTGGCAACAATAATCCAGGTAACTCACCCCTGCCTTAGAGGCCCATTCCCAACTCTCATCCATCTCTCAGATAAAGAGAATAGTTGGCAGGCAGCCAGTGGGCCTGGGTAACAGCTTCGCCTCTCCCAGTTATGCCAAAAGCTAAGGCTGTAAAGCAAGCACAGAAGCATATGTGATATGTAGCAACTCATACCAATTAATTCAATATGACGTTTACATGCGTTTCACCATTTGGTTCCACACAGGCAGCTTATTTACTTAAAGCATATCCATTCAACTTTCATCAAGCAGAGTCCAGGGCAGCTAGCAGACAACAGAAAATTAAAAGAACGTTATAGTAGAGAAGCAAAATGATAAAGATGACAGCAGGGCTAAGAACAGTGGAGTAAAAACCACATTCTTCCACCAAAACCCAATTCTATTAGTAAGATTTTCCAGCAGAGTTAAAAACTATTTTCTAGTAATGCTTAAGATGCCTAAGTTTCAAAAGCTGTCCTTCTAAAAGGAATGCCTTCATTTGATGGTGGAATGCCATTAATGATGGGCCAAAGTCAGTGTCTCCTGGGAGGGAGTTCCAGAGTGCAGGCACTGAGAAGGCCAACTATGCTCTATCACTCTGAGATAGAGGACTGCCGTGCACCTTAGCTGGCTTTTGCTTTTTAACTAGACCTACAAAGACTTGAAGGATCGTCTCCAGTTGATGGCGTACAGATGTAAAGTTGATCGGGGTTCTCCAGCAGAGGAGAAGATTGATAGCATCCTCAGCAACCCGGTAAGAAAGAACAACTCATTCACACAGTTTGCTCCAGGGCCGTCTTTAGCATATGCGGTGCAGGGGTGCAAAAATCCGCCCAGCACCCCCAATTTTTTGGGGGGGCAGGTCAAGGTTGTTGAGCTTTTTATAGAGGGGCAGCTCATAACTCATAAAAAAGCAGCAGCAATAACTCCATCTTTCCATTTTTGCGATCATGCAAAAATGAAAGGCACCACTAGGGGGCGCCGCCGGATACGTTGATTCTGCAGTTCTTCTGCAAAAGAGAACGGAAATGACCCATCAACCACAATCACCCGGGGGTCGCGGTTAAGGGCTTAGGTGGCTTCAGCGGTGGCCGCCCCCCAGAATTTGGCACCCGGTTGCACTGCATCCCTTGTGCCCCGGGTAAAGACGGCCCTGGTTTGCTCTCATTCCGTTTTTTTCCAGGTGTCAGCTTTGATTTAGTTGCAGAAAGTGGGGTGGAGCAATAAGGGCAAGCAGAAGTGATGTTGGGAAGAGCAATTGATAACTGTTTAATGATCCTACTGTTGGCTCTTGTCACAGCTTTATCCTTTCATTTTCTCATGAGTGGTAGACATCATCAAACTCATACCACATGCCGACTTTTTTTTGTAAGGGGGACTCTTATGAGATAGTGGTATCCTTTTTATATCGGGGCAAAACAAAACAAAAGCCAAGTATCTCTGTTCGTTTATCATGCCAGGCAGTTGCTTTTGAGAGTCAACTGTTAGCTTGCATCTTTTCCCCTGCTGCCTCCAGAAATCCAATTCTACCTTTCAGATTCAATTTCATTTCCAATTTACAGTGTAGTAGTGACTTGTAACAGCTAGAATACAGTATACAGCTAGAAACCAAGAAAATTCAGGACATGATTTCTGTGTACAAAATCCTTCTCCTAAAGCGGAAGCTTAAAGACTTTAATCCCCTTTAGTGATACAGATGGCAGTAAAACTTACCTTCTACTTAAAGGATGATTTGTGCAAGTTAATTGCTTGTAGTTTGCTTTCCTTTATGTCCTATAAGCTTGTGTGAAACAGGGCTTCTAACGTGGGTTTTTTATTAATCCATTTCAAGCATTAACCCAAGATTGCTGGCTTTCATTTGGCTCTTCTGTTTCTACCGGATTGTCACTTAGCTTCACTGAAAGTAAAGTCTAATATCTCTATTTTGGTTAAAAGATTAAAATATATAATTTTACTCCCATTGTTTTCTCACGAACTGAGTATGGGGTCCTCTCTCCCCATCTGTTTTGACAGGTGTAGGTTCACTGGCTGTTGTCCAGTCAGCTAGGAGGTGTGATGATATTTGAAACTAGCCGTATCTCATTCTGTTTCTCTTTCAGCAAATCCGATGGAAGAATTGAGAGCTGCTCACTCATCATGGAAGAAGCCTGATTTTACTGGAACAATGAAGGCAAGCTGCCAAACATAGCTCTGCATTGGTTTTAATCCACTGCCCAGATTGTAGCTGGCTCTGCTTTTGGATCCTGGGACAGAACCCAAAGGAGATGTTCAGCCAACAGAACCAAAGCTAAAAAGCTGAAATCCAGCACTCTCTTTTCAACTTGACCATATGATGAATAGAACATGATTGCATAAATGAGAAAAGTAAATGTGATCAAGAAACTGGCACCCAAACACTTCTTGCAGACTATCTGTTCATCTGAGTCAGGAAGGACGGCTCCCTGTGAAATTGTTATTTATAGGAATTGTTTCCAGTCCTTTCATTTTATCCAGGTCCAAAGTGCGGGACAGTGACTGCTTTGATAGGATTGAAACTCAAGATAATTGGGACTTTTATTTAACTGAGGAAGGGCTGTATAGAGATTCTTCAAGGCTATCTAACCCCACCCGTGTTCTTCTCCCCAGATCATTGTATAATAACCACTTGCCTTTAGGCCAAGGAGAACATAAAACCAATTCTAGTTGGAGACTGACCAATATGCTTCTTGGACAATGGTTGCATTTTCCCTCAGCAAGGGCTAATAAGACTACTTGTTCTTTGGTACTTCTTTCATAAAATGTACCACAGGCCTGGATCCCTTTCTCTTCTGCCCTCTTTCTCCTTCATTTTTTCCATTCCTGTAAATAAAGCTTTGCCTCCCTCTGTGTGACTGCAATGTGTTTTCTTGCTTTTTTTATCTTGCAAAAGTTGAATAGCCAGCTGGGGTTATCATGGGGTTGTACCCTCAAGGGATTATAAGTAAAATGGGAAATTATTATCTAGGGACTCTAAAGCATTTTTGTCCACTGTGACTCTTCAGTGAGAGGACATACATACTTTTTTATTTATATTTATGTTTATATATTAAAACACCACTCAATATTTTTTTAAAAAAACCCTACAAAATATAAAACAGAAAAATCAAGAAAAACCCAACTACAAAACATACAAAAGTTTAAATACTAAAACACATTAATATTACCTCAACTTTCTAAGCATCTGGGTGTTTTTTTATTATTATTGTTATGTATTAAATTCCTATATGGCCCTTTCATCCAAGGATCACAGGGTGGTTTAAGAACACAAAAAATGCATAACATAGTAACAAACGAGCAATAACCTCCAGTGTGCATACTTGTCTAAAGAGTGCAGTGAAGATGCCTGCTTGATCTCAATAGGGAGTTCCAATAGGCACTGTCGCATTAAAGGATCAAGTTCTTACAAATGCAGAATGGGTATGTGGGCACCTGTAGTGCCAGTCCACCAAACAAAGCAGTCAAGTGGGCACATATGGGATAAGGTGATAGGTGTTGAGATTCCTGCATTGCAGGGGCTGGACTAGATTGCCCCCAGGGTCTCTTCCAATTCTATGATGCCACAGGCATTTCAGTATAGTGATGTTGATTCACGCTGGACTCAAAAGAATTCACTTGCACATGTATTGGAAGCTGCTTTAGCCTGAGTCAGACCAATGGTCCATATAGCTCAGTATTACCTACACTTGACTAGCACTTGACCATGGTTTCAGAGTGTCTTTCATAGTCTTACCTGGAGAAGCCAGGGACTCTTAACTGGGGACTTTCTTCAGTTGCTCTACCACCCTTGCACATCCTGTTTGCATATTCCTGCCAGGCCATGCAAAGCAGTAAGCTGTTGAACTTGGAACTGGGAGAGAAGATTCAAACTCCCATCTAACCACTAGAAGCAAGCTTTAACACTGACTATTTTCAGATGTTCCTTTAGGGCAGCCTTTCTCGACCTTGGGTCCCCAGGTGTTGTGGGACTACAGTTCCCATCAGGGCCAGTGGTCAGTGTTTATGGAAGTTGCAGTCCAAGAACATCTGGGGATCCAAGGTTGAGAAAGGCTGCTTTAGAGTATATGAAGAGAACAGCTTTAATGTATGGTTTATACATAAGCTAGTACCACATGTGTCAATCGGCCAATTCTGGTATGCCTGGTTTTAAAGTTTATATTTTTAGGTAACTGCATTCATTTCCCCTGTTTTGCTTTAAGGTGAAAAATAAGGCAAGGAGTTTTGCTTTTTGTAAGTTGCCCTGGTAATTTCTTATGCATTAAAGGTCAAGGATATAAATGTTCCTTGTGCCTGTCTTGGAAGGCACTTCAACCCCAAAGGACACAAGGGACAGTTAGTCTGGAACACATAATTTAATGCAAGAGTCATTTTTAAAATAAATTGAATTTAGTTTAGAATTTTCCCTTCACACATAAGCATATATTGTAAGAGTAGAGAAAGTCAGCCACCTTAGACTCTACAGTCATAATGGCTGTTCATACTAAATAACAATTTTCAACACAAGGTAGCAGATTTAGACAAAGATGTCTAAAGCTCTGGAAAGTTCATATAAGACAGTTCAAAGTAGTCTGTACCTTTTAAAGAGTTGCTCAGATTCCCTGTAGGGAGGGAAATTATTTGCTGTCTCCTTTAAAGGCAGCAATTATGAAGTCATCACGTGCAAAAATGGGTTCTAGAAACAAGGTTCAGTTACCAGGCATTTGCCATGACGACGGTGGTTTTGTTTGATAGTGTGGCAGTTGAGCAGGACCCAGAAGCTTTTGGAGTGAAAAGGGATGGGATGCTGTGCACTGCAGCTGCCTGTTTCTTTCAGCGGATGTGAAAGCTGGTAATTGGGTGAGGGTCTTTCCTTCTTTCCCCCTTTCTTGTGCCAGGCGAAGGCAATTTTGCTTCTCATGGCCATCAATGGTTCAACAGGACAAGATAGGTCCTTCCATTTCAATAGTACTATCCTCCAGTGTTGTGTAGTGGTTAAGAGTGGTTAAGTCTCGTAATCTGGGGAACTGGGTTCGCTTCCCCGCTCCTCCACATGCAGCTGCTGGGTGACCTTGGGCCAGTCACACTTCTCTGAAGTCTCTCAGCTCCACTCACCTCACAGAGTGTTTGTTGTGGGGGAGGAAGGGAAAGGAGAATGTTAGCCGCTTTGAGATTCCTTAAAAGGGAGTGAAAGGCGGGATATCAAATCCAAACTCTTCTTCTTCTTGATGGCAAATTGATGACTTTGGGGAGTAGCTAGTTTCTTTTTTTTTCTTTTTTTTTAAGGCTGTATTTTGAACTGAGCATGGGCTGAAGGACAAGGGACATCCACTCCATTCATTCCCAAGAGCTGTGCAAATAGCCACAGAGGTAATGTCTGGAGGTCTCCCCCTTTTGTTGGAAGCACAGAGTTTGTGGCAGAGAAGTTTGTTTCTCGTTCTGTGCCACTTCCCTGTGCGGTTGACTAAAGGCAAAAGTACCCGAGGCTCTGGGTGGCACACAAGAATGGCCACATGCACAATAGTTGATTTCACCCTTGCAGAAAGGGTGGTCACCACAGAGCAGTTGGAAATGGATGACCATTCTGCCACTATTGCAGCTGCCGCTCACCACAGAAGGTTTCTGTTCAAGCTCAATATGGATGATATTATGGCGAACCTGAAGACCTTTCAGCCCGACTATGGAGCAGGGATACATGAGCCCCTGATGAGCTTAAAATGCCGTGCCAAAGGACTGACAGTGACTGCCTGTGCCCACGCATTCTTCTTCTGCAGACTGCTCCAAGCCACCAGGTAAAGTAAGGAACAAAAATCATTCCTGTAAGATTTCCTGCTGTGGATTAAAGCTGCATTATATTAATGGAACACCACTTTCTTCCCTTTTTCTCAGTCTGTGGTCTACATGGGCAAAGCATAAAGGGACCTCACACACTTTTATCTTAAGACTTCATTCTGACTTGTGCAGCTTTCCTCCTTCTGTTTTTATAATGAATTGATTTTAGAATGCTGTATTATTTTACTGTTGTTAGCCACTCTGAGCCCGTCTTCAGCTGGGGAGGGCAGGATATATATATATTTTTAAATTCTTCTTCTTATTATTATTTTATTTCAACAGTTTGAGTTTATTGATCTGTCCATGATGCAAGACATTGTTTGTAATGGATATTAAAGAGGGATGAAAATCACATAGAATCATAGAATTGTAGAGTTGCTTTTTATTTTTGCTATTGGGTGCTAGATGTTGCTTGTGTAATCTCATTGTATTTATAGTATTGACATTTTTCATATGGTATTATATTTGCTGTTGTGTTGTTTTGCTGTGTTATTATGAAATTGTTTGTGAGATGCCTTCCTGTTTTCTTGTTGCAGGCTACTTTTAGCATTTTTGTGCATGTAAAAGCAGCCTACAAATAAAACGAATGAATGACGCTGCCATTTATGTTCTTCCTCAGGCAGAAAAGAGAGGGTGACAGCCAAGGCCTGAAGCTTGGGATTATTGGTGGAGGCCATATTGGGAAACAGCTGGCCAGGACAATGTTGCATCTGGGTGGCATGTCAGGAAAGAGCATCCAGATATCTACAAGGCGTCCAGAAACTCTGGGTAAGACTCAGGTGCTTGACAGGCATTCAGCAATCAATTTAGTAATCACAAAATTTAGGTGCACTCCTGCCTAGAGATCCAGGTGGAGGTCTAGGTAGAGGTCTTTATTCCAAATGAATGGTAAACACACCGGAAATAACTAGATGGAGGGAAGCTTAGAACAATGAAATCCTTTCCAATAATCATCCCTGAAGATAAAGAGGAGGAATATTAAAAGTCTTTTTATAGTTTTTGAAAGGTGGCCAGTTTCTGAGGTTTGGCGATTTTCGAATTATAGACTTTAAATCTGAGTTTTTGAAATAGTGCCAGGTGATTATTATTTTTTGCATTTGTTTCTGGGATAGAGGCTTCAGTCCTCCATGGCCCAGAAGAACTGTGGTGTATGACAGCTATCTGTGGTCATTATGCAAAGTTCTCAAAGTGTCATCAAATGAGAGGACTTGGCTATAATGAAGTCATCTCGCATCACTCTTGTGGCCCATTTTCTTTCATGTTAATGTATTCAAAAAGAAATTACAGACATTAACTCCATCCCAATGCCCTCTACATTAAGACAGATGGAAAACATCCTCATAAGTACACTATGTGCTATAAGGGCATACCTAGAGATGTTCTTAGTGGCTTCTCTGTAACTATGCTATACACCTCCCGAGGAAGCAGAAGCTGCACATCATCTGGAAGTGATGGTGGAAGAAGCTTTTTACTGAAACTGGCTTTTAATAGTAGAGAAAGGTAGGATACAATAATCAGCATTCTGCTTGGTACCCACTTCAGATTATTGGAACGGTGTATGCTATACAAACCAAGTGAGCTGTCTCTGTGTGTAGGATCACACAACCTTGCAGTGCAGTCCTAAACAGGTTTACTCAGAAACAAATCCCTCTGTGCTTGGGTGAGAGCACCACTGTGCTCTTAGCTGAAAGTGCATGGGGTTGCAACCTCAGGTATTAAATAGGTGGCCATTCTTATGCCGGAACAAGAGATCATTCTTCCTCTCCATTGTCTTTTCCAGGAGAATTTGAGACACTGGGAGTTGCCTGCTTTTATGACAACAGGAAGCTGGTGGGCTGGGCAGATGCTGTATTTCTCTGCTGTCTTCCGTCTCACCTCCCACACATTTGTGCAGAAATCCAGGATGCACTTACAAAATGTTGCATTATCTACAGCTTGGTCACAGCTATCCCTCTGCCCAGGTACTGTGCATTAAAACATCAGAGCTAGCTTAATTTGAAGATATCATCCAATTGTGTGACACAACTTAAAAGCAACAAGTAACTATTTCCTGAGTTAAGCAATTGCTGGTGTCGCAGTTGTGGTGAACCTTAGCTATTCAAGGTGACCCTTCCTAGTACTATCTGCTTTACTTGGGAACTAGATCTAAGGATTTTGCTCATATTATATTTTAGAATTCTGAGACTAGCAGTGCAAATCTATGCCTGTTTACTCAGAAGCAAGTCTCAAGGAAACTCTCCCAACTAACTGTGCATCAAATTATAGCTTGGGACTGCAATCCTATGCACATTTCCCCCAAGAATGCACAGCTAGTATTAGAATTAGGTGTGTGACAGTGTTTAGTTTGTGCCATTAGATGCAAAACATGTACATTCTGGGTTATAAGGAAAGCCATGTTTGAAGTTTTTCCAATGTAACTTAAGCAGGGCACACTACCAGACTTTCAGAAAGATGTGTTTGGTTTCTTAACTGCTTATACTATGACACACACTTGCTCACTCACCACACCCACGGTACAAGCTTGACCCCCTAAAACCTCATATTGCTCAGAGATTGACACATTACAGAATGACCATTCTGGCCTGTATTGTGAGTTTTCTTAAGGATGTCAGGAATGGTGATTGCAAACATATCGTTTTCAAAGTACCAGGCTCCACCCATATCTTCCACCGAATATTTAATCAGTGTGTTGTTTTAATGGGATTGCTTTATTGTATATTTTAATGATGAGTTTATGTTTCAGTGTTTTAATGGGATTTTTATTGTGAATTTTAATCATTTATATTTTAATGCTTGTGCAACTGATTTTTAGACTTGTAAACCACTTAGAACCCTGTTTTGGCATTAAGGGGTATATAAATGAATAACTACAGCAGCAACATGTAGAAATTGGGGCAGTGATTACAATCCAGTCCAGTGAGCCCACACACATGCATGAATGCATTTTGAAGGCATGTAACAGGGGACTCAGCTACATTCAGGCAATGATATCGTTAAACATGTGACACCAGATGGTGCTGTAGTGTCTGAGCCTTTGTCAATGTGATTTTCCATAATGAGCTTTAGAACACGTTTTATCATTCTTCTTCTGCCTGCTTGCCTCTCAGACCAAAGTCCATCTGATTAACTCTGCTCTTATTTGCTTTTAGGCTGAAACAACTTCTTTCCTCCAATAACATCTTGAGGCCACAGTACACGTTTGTGGAGGGTGGACTTTTTCAGATGTGGGAGGCCAGCAGGACAGTTGTGGAAGCCCTCAAAGACCCAGCTGTTATCCAAGCCACATGTCCCTGTAACCCTAATGGTAGGTGAACTATCTTTCTTCACTTTGCAGCCTGTATGCAGAAGAGAGCTTGGTTATTCTTATGTGGTTAATTTAATGTTCACCTCTTATAATCAAAGCCCAGCTTTTGTATCTGTATGCAGGGAGGTGAAATAGGTTCATTTGCCATGTCCTGGATCACAATGCACAAAATAAACTGTTATGTACTGAGTTGAATAGGATCCAAACTGCAGCAGTCTGATTGGTCCTAGAACAATAGGATCCAAAAGGCAGCAGTCTGATTGGTCCTAGAACAATAGGATTCAGAATGCAGCAGTCTGATTGGTCCTAGAACAATGCAGCAGTATGATTGGTTGGCAGGAACCACCCAATCATGCTCCAGATAGAAGTGAATCCACAACCTGATTGGCTTACAGTAGAATTCCGGAATTAGCCAATCATGTGCAGCCCATTGTGTAAATAATGTATATAAAGCAGATACTCTGAGGGGACATTCATTCATTCCTCCTCACCACTATGAGCTGAATAAAGAGCATGAAATCACTTTGCGACTCTGAGTATATTTCATAAACCATCCTCCAAAAACATAGGAGGCCTTCTGACATCTCCCCGCTATATGTGGCAAATGAGTGATTATATCTGAGCATTTCCAATACTTAACGTTTGTATCTGAATATTTTGTTCAGCCCACCTGCTGTTAAAAGCAAAGTTCACTTTTGCTACAGTTTTAACCATTTTCTTTTTTAGTCTTGGATGTTTGAACCCCATTTCTGTTAACATTTCCACTCCCCCCCCCATTCCACAGCTTTCTTTTCTCTCACTCTCTACCACCAGAGGTCTGTCCTCTGTCCCTGCGTTGGTCAATTACCCCTTCTCAGTGCTTTTTTTCTGGGGGTACACACGGATACGCATACTTTCTTGAGTTAAAATGAGAGTAACCCTAAACATGTAAAAAAACAAAACAACAACAACAACAACAACAACAACACTACCTCTTATAATTTTTCTCTCCAGCCCAGAAATGGGAGTCTCAGATGCAGATGCACCATCCATTATAGCTGGCTGCCATCAGCTTGGAAAAAGTGGCACCAGCATCACATGCCTACCTCTGAGACTCAATCCACACATGCAGCAGAATGAGATAGTGGAGTGGGCTGGAAGTGAGAGAGATTATTTTTGTTCATGCTTCCCCCATTATTATTTTTTTAAAAGCTTCCAGTAAATAAAGAAGTAGCATATTTGCAAAAGGCAACTGAGCTCCTTGCTGCGCTAGTTTTCTATGTACAAGGACTTGTTTCTACAGAAGATTTTAAAAATGTGATTCATCCACCTGTAATCCTAAAGTAGTAGCTGCCTCAGAAGTCAACCATTTTATTCTTGACTCATTTAGCTGCCTGTCAGGTCAGAGTCTGTATCCACGGACAGGAGGAGAGATGCAGGTATTCTCTCAGCCCAATTCCCATTCATGATCCTGCTTGTGTGGGCCTTATATGTTTTCCCCAAAAAGGTGCAGGAAAGGGCCTCAGACAATGGCAATCCCTAACCAGGGAGAAGGGTCACAAATTCAAAGGAAAGGTTGGCTTAAGGGCTGCATCATGTTGTGCAGGCCTGGCCTAGCAGTATGGTGAACTAAACACTTTGTATGTCTAATATAACATTTGTGTTATCTTACAGCGGAAATTGTTGTCAATACAAAGTGGCTGGCAGCAGTTTTCTATGCAGCTCTAAACAGCTACACATGGCAGCGTGTAACCTACATGAGAGCCCTGCTCTTCCTTAATGAAGCGTGTTTTCCTGCAAAAGCTAGCACCACCTCCTTAGATAATAGATCGGAATCGCCAGAGCTAGTTTGTGAAAACTTCATCAACCAAGCCTTCGCTTCCACCCTGCAATGTAATAAGTAAGTATGACAAACTGGAAATTTACTCTTGACCTACTGAGCATTTTAAAAAGTGGATGGAGCTTCATCTATGCATGATACTGAATTAGAAACACGCTTTCCAAGTAAAAGAACCCTATGTTCTTCAGTCCTGATGACCCAACCCCCCATTTTCTTGTTCTCCAAACCCTACTCAGTTTAAACTTCCAGAAGACATAGAGTTTATATAACTGGATAGTTTAACATCTGGGGTTAGTGTCTGCTTGAGACAGGGTTAAACCTAAAGTTAGGCAGTTGCGTGGAAGTTGTTGGAAATGTTTCCACGTGGTAGTGAGTTCCTAACATTGAAAAGTCACGCATCCTGTGTATAGTCCTGATTGTGTGAGGGGTTGCTATACCATTGCCATGGCCACTAAGTATATGCAGCACTGGCATGGGACTCTGGTGTGCAAGAATGGATGCTACCTTTCCCCATGCTTCAGTTCTGCTGAAAATCCCCATCCAGACTGTTATTGGCTTAAAGAGGTAAGCTTCTACTGACTGTTATTGCTAAAAGGGAAGAAACATTAAGGTGACATTCAACTAAATACTTGTACTAGCACAATAGGATTTCCGTTCCTCTCTCTGCACATGCCCCATGCATCTGCTCACGAGGGTTGGGAAAACCTCCAGCACAGATTTAGGGGATGCATGGAGAAAGTGGGGGGTATGTTTTGTTGCACAGGGAGAAATCCTTGCGTTGATGGAATGTTCACCTTAGCGCTATGTTGAATACAACCCATCAAATGCATTTAATGCCATCTCTGTTGTGGACTGACCAAGAGAAGGCAGCTTCCAAGCTGTGCAGTATATTCTGTTCTTTGTTCTTTTGTCTTGTTTTCTCTTAGCAGCCCTTGCATAGAAAGAAAGAAAGAAAAGTGGTTAGCAAGTTAAATATTAAATCTTCCCATTTTTATCTGCAAGACCTCTATAACAACAAAAATATAAGGATAGAATGGTGGCATTTATATGTGCGGAAGTTGCCCAAGGTCGTTTGACCCTTTATAAAATATCATTCTCTTTTCTCTCCTAGAAAAGACTGTGTAAGATTAGAGTTTAGAGTTTAAACACAACACATTACTTTACTTGGTATGCTAAAACACATTTACATTAATATATGAGACTGGCTAAATATGTAGAAACTTATATTCCAAGGCACATAGCAGCATAAAACAACTGCTGCTCTCATTGTGAAACTCACTCTCACTCCCTACAGTTGATAACAGACCTAACTGAAAAAACCACCTACTGTGGTGACATCATAGAATTCTATACTACATTAATTCTTTCCATAGCATTTTGGATGCACCACTCCCTTTGGTTTCAAATATGTATTCAATAGTAACAACAACAACAACAACAACAACAACAACTTATTATTTATACCCCGCCTGTCTGGCCGGGTTTCCCCAGCCACTCTGGGCAGCTTCCAACAAAACACTAAAATACAATAACCTATTAAACATTAAAAGCTTCCCTAAACAGGGCTGCCTTCAGATGTCTTCTAAAAGTTTGGTAGTTGTTGTTGTTTAGTTGCTGGACCAGAGCACGCCAGGCACTTCTATCTTCCACTGCCTCCCGCAGTTTGGTCAAACTCATGCTGGTAGCTTCGAGAACACTGTCCAACCATCTCGTCCTCTGTCGTCCCCTTCTCCTTGTGCCCTCCATCTTTCCCAACATCAGGGCCTTTTCCAGGGAGTCTTCTCTTCTCATGAGGTGACCAAAGTACTGGAGCCTCAGCTTCACGATCTGTCCTTCCAAAGTTTTGTAGTAGTGACCTATATATAAATGTTTTCTGTTCCCCTAGTACTTTCCCATGGTTTGACCTGACAGCTGTACAGCAAAGGGACTCACCTTTTAGCCAGTTTCTTGAATCAACTACATCTTTCCAGAAAGTTGCTTTATTATATCGTAACTTGATTGCTGTATTATCTACAAACACTGAAGACTCAATTAGCGCTGTCTCTAAGAAGACATCTCTTTCAGCTGTCCTACTGAACCCCACCAAGACTTTGATTCATGGCCTAGATGGGACTTTCATAAGCAAAGTAGAAGAGGGATCTAGTTCTGATTCTGAAGAGACATAAATTAATTATGGTGTGACTCCAGTCAAGAAGAAGTAGGAAAGGTATTGCTTTTAATCTCAGTACTAAAACCTATGTAAGTATTAAGTAACTACTACCCTTTCTAACCACATACATTTCAGGAATCCAAATAGTGATTTGTAATGAAAAAATATATCAATAGGGGGTGATATTTAGCAATGGAAAGTTTGTAACAGAGGCTAAGCAGGGAAGAATTACTACAAACTGAATCTCAGAAATGACATGTTTTTAAAATGTTTAGATCCTATCATACTATTCTATGCTATGGTATGGTAAAATAAAGTGAAAAGAAACACTAATATAATTATTAGCCATTTGTTCTTTTACCTCTCATGTAGCTAAACCTGTACTCCTTCATCTGCCACTGTTTTTCTCTAAACCTCATAGCTGAACACAAGTGATTTAAATAAATAACATATGCAATGTTGCAATACAATGGTGATGAACAGCTGCCTCAGTTCAGGATAAATGGAAAACAGGAACATCACTTCTTAGCTGAAGCTAAGCATGATCACTTGAAAATATATTCAACGAAAAACTGTGGAACACAACTTCTAAGCAATCCAATGAACACAGTCTCCATTACTTCATAAAATTTTGTGTGAACGCGGCCTATGAAGCAAAATCCATATTTTATGAACTCAAGGATGAATACAAAATTCTGTGGCATAAAATGTAAATATCCAAAACCATAGATTCAGAGTTTTTTATATTATAAAAACACTTGACATTTACTATACACTTCATATAGATAATCAAGGTAATCCTTACAAATGTGTACTGTAGATGGAGATACTATGGATGAGGGATGGTTGCTTGACTATGGATAAATGGTGAGATCATGGCTGGGGCAAAGTTTTAACCGTGGCTTTCACAGTGCACGTTCACAGCCATCACACTACAATCTGGCTCACACACCCTGTTAAGACAAACCATAGCTCCAATGACAATATACATACAGTCAAACCTCAGATCCCAAACACCTCCATTTTGGAATGTTTCGGCTCTCGAACAAAGAAAACCCAGAAGTAAATGCTCCAGTTTTCAAATGTTTTTCAGAAGCCGTATGTCCAATGTGGCTTCTACTTGAGTGCAGGAAGCTCCTGCAGCAAATTGGAAGCCGCACCTCAGTTGTTGAACATTTTGGAAGCCGAACAGGCTTCCGGAACAGATTGCGTTCGTCAACCGAGGCTTGATTGTACTGCTAATGTGCTGCACTAAGCTAAACCATGGTTTGGCTCATTGATCCCTGGGCTCATGGTTTTGTTCTCTCCACACTAACCACAAGCTTTAAGATTTGCTCTAAGATTTACAGTTTATGGTTTGCCCAGGGTACCTAAACCATAAGCTTGTGTTTGGATGATATTATAAGTCAGACCATGTCTTAGCTCAGTGCAGTAGCAGAAAGAGGACCAAATCATATGCAATCTCCTCTCCAGGAGCCTCCACACACTTGTACGCACACTTGGGCTAAGCAATGGTTTAGGGTTAGGCTGTTGTGTGAATCAGGCCAATGTGAGCCCTCACAAAGAGCAAGGAAAAGACCTTAAGATAAACTCCAGTAAGAACACTCTCCTGTGTTTCTGTGTGCTGTTTCTGTGTTGACACCACAGCTGCATGACTGTCCTCTTTGCCATGTTTAGGATTAGGCTGCAGAAAAGCACATCTCTGTTTGCTCTGCAACCACTAGTCCAACTAGCTGCTCAGTGAATGGGGACCACACCCAACTTGATAGTGTTAAAAAACCCAATTTATTTCTTTTGGGAATATCAGTTACCATGTTGTGAGCTCATTTCCTGTGAGCTAGCTTGCTGCAAACTAGCTTGATGTGAGCTAGCCTGCTGTGAACTAGTCCGCCGCGAACTAGTCTGCCGCGAGCTACTCCGCCGTGAGCTACTCCGCCGTAAACTTTTATATTGTGAACTTTCATGCCATGAACTTTCATCCTGTGGTGGTGCTGGCTCATAGTCACGTAATCCTGAGTCTTTGATAAACTGAGAATAGGTAAGGGCATCACTTCGTTTTCCAGTCCGCGATTTCTGCTCCAGAAACAAACCCATATTATCTCTGCGGGGGAGAGAGATGCTTCTGACAAAGGGGGGCTCCTCTATTTCCAGCAATTCTCGCATATGTCGTGAAATTTCCTGAAAAGCAAAAGGAAGTTTTAAGAAAACCATCTCCATTAGGAAAATAAATGTATTAATTTTTTTGTTCTGTTGAGTTTTCATCCTTGTATCCCATAATAAAACAGCAAGAGAAGGAAGGGACCATGGCTCCATGATAAAACACATGTTACACATATAGAAGATCCCAGTTTCAATTCTTGGCATCTTTTCTTAAATGTATCCTGTGTAGCAAGCAATGGAGAAAATTTCTCATTGAGAACTAGGAAAACTGTTATCAGAGTAGATAACACTGGGCTAGATGGAGAAAAAGTATGACTTAGTATAGGAAAGCTTCCTAAGATGAATGGGTGCGGATAAAAAAAATGCAATTTCAGTTAGCTGAAGCAGTTTCTTTAGATGGTTTCCAAAATTCCCATGGCTGCTGCTATTTTATGTCATGTACAGGAATTTCTAAACACAGGGAACTATCTAGTATCATATAACAAAGCTTTAGTTTTAGCTATAAGCTTATAATAGCAATAGTTTTAGGAGACAGGACCCAGCAGCAATAGACAGATTTACTGATTTAATATTGCAATCCTAAGAACATAAGTAGAGCCCTGCTGGATCAGGCCGAAGTACCATCTAGTCTAACCTCCTGTTCTCAGGATGTAAGAAGGCATTGCTTTCTTTCCTATTCTGCAGTCGTTATATGCAGCACTGTTTCTGTTCTGCCACAGTTCATCTTCTGCCAAAAAAATGGTATTATTCAGCTCTCTCTCCACTGTGGCAAAATCCACCATGGAAGCACCCGGTGTATAATAAAACAGAAGTAACCAGAGAAAAAATCTAGTCTCTACAAAAGTGCATATGCCCATATCACTTGTCACATAATCTGTCTTCCATCTACAAAGAAGATCCAGTTGCAGTATGTGCTCTTACCTTCATATGCTCAAAGTCAGTTATCCCAATCTGTGGTAGATTACAACAATTTACATGGATGAGTTTGCGCCCAGAGATAAAGTTTGCAGTAAAACACTCCTAATTACAACAAAACAAGAAACAAATCAGCAACAACAAAACTGCATAATTACATAGCATGTGGTATGTATGACAAGTGGCAAAACCTTTTATTTCTTTCTCCAACTACGGTAACTTAAACTGGTGGCATTTAATTAAATATAACAAAGGTCCAACAATTCACAGTAGTGGAGCTGGGCTCAAACAGCTGAATGTCTTCTCATGTATGCTGCCCTGGGCTTCTTTGAGAAGAAGGATATAAATACATTCAATAAATAAATGCTGCTATACGTGAAGGTTGATCAGGATTATTTTCATTTCGTGTGTGTGTGACCTTCTAGGATAAAGGTAAAGGTACCCCTGCCCGTACGGGCCAGTCTTGACAGACTCTAGGGTTGTGCGCTCATCTCACTCTAGAGGCCGGGGGCCAGCGCTGTCCGCAGACACTTCCGGGTCACGTGGCCAGTGTGACAAAGCTGCATCTGGCGAGCCAGCGCAGCACACGGAACGGCGTTTACCTTCCCGCTAGTAAGCGGTCCCTATTTATCTACTTGCACCCAGGGGTGCTTTCGAACTGCTAGGTTGGCAGGCGCTGGGACCGAGCGATGGGAGCGCACCCCGCCGCGGGGATTCGAACCACCAACCTTTCGATTGGCAAGTCCTAGGCGCTGAGGCTTTTACCCACAGCGCCACCCGCGTCCCTGACCTTCTAGGATACATGTCTATAATTCAAAACAATGCAATTACAAATTAGAATAACAAAAAAGTGTTACAAAAGCATCCATTCGGGTGACTGAAGTGCACTCTACACATGCTCAGGGTAACCTTTCTTCGCTTTGTCATATCAGGAAGACTCCCCTCCCCTCCCCCTGAACCTCCTTCTTCCACATACTGTACCATCGTGATGGTCCCATCCTGCATGCATCCTGCTGTCTCCCTGCGCTGCAAAGCCAACTCTGTTTACCTTGTACTGGGGGAATCCCAGCGCTTCGATCCACTCGGCCACCTCTTCGGGAGTCCAGGCTAAAAAGTAAGGGCCCATCAGGGCGGGACTCTTGCCATCCTGCTCGGATTGTTCCCCGCTTCCCGCTTCGGTTTCAAGCCCCGCTTCGGAGCCAGACACGGCGGAATCGAGTTTGAATCCGGAGTCAGGACGGATTGACTTGCGGCGCCTCCGCCGAGCCCCCCTGGTGCCTCCTCCTCCTTCTTCGTCGTCGTCCTCGTCGTCGTCATCCTCTTCCCCGTAATCCTCGTCGTCTTCGTCGTCGTCTTCGTCGTCGTCGTCCGCCGCATCCTCCGGCTCTTCCGCTTTCTCCTCCGCTTTCTCCTCTGCTTTCTCCTCCATCTTCGCAGCCTGCGAGGGCGACTGCATGTCCCCTGCCAGCCCTGAGCAGCGGCAGCCGCAGCAACGGCGCCGCTATGGCAACGCGTCCTTCCTGGAACGGTCTCCATGGCTACCAGCGCTTCCGGGAAGTGCGCCGCCTTTCCTTTCCCCATCCCGCCCGCCAGAGAAGCCTCTGTAGCAGCCTGACGAAAGCGGCCCTTTCGAAAGCGGCCGGCTTTAGGCGGGAACTACGTAGGGCGGAGGCCCGAGAGGAGGAGGAGGAGAAGGAGGCTGCGGTGGTGGTCGCGGGTGAGGGAGGGGGACGGGAGCGGCTACGATCGCCGCTCGGCTCTTTCCGGCTTTGCTCGGCTCCGCTCGACCCTCCCCGGCTGCTTTCGGGCGGCTCAGCCCTCCGCCTTCCCATGTCGGACGTGCTGGCCGCCGCCGCCGCCGTGGGCACCCGCTTCGAACCCTCCGCGGCCAACGGCTTGGGAGGAGGAGGCGGGGACGGCGGCGGCGACAGTTGCCCCGCTGGCGGGGCTGGAGACGACGAGAAGAAACCGCGCCTCACGCCTCCGCTGCCGCCTTCCTCAGGTACTTCAGGGGCCTCCCTCGCGGCTGCGGGGTGGAGATAGCGGGGCCGGGGGCAAAAGAAAACGTCGTCTCTGTCAAGGCCTTCCCCCTCCCCGGGGACTGACGGAGCGCGGGAGGAGGGCCCGTGTGGCTCGCCACCTCCCTCGCTCCCTGGAAGGTCCCCTGACAGCGGCGCTGCAGGCAGAAATCCAACAGGTGCCCCCTCCCTGTGGCACGCGTGTGCGCCACCTGTTGAACTTCTGCCGCTCGGGGAGCTTCTTGGCATTCAATAAGCAAAACGAGGGGAGCGGCGAGGTCGCGACGGGAGGCGTTTACTCTGGGGGAAACCGGGTTGGGGCGCGCGGCGAGGAGCCCGGGCTGAGGCGCTGGGGGTTGGGGCTGCTCTGCTGGCGCTGCAGGTGTTCGAGGCGAGGCGTCGCGGAAGCCTGAAAAGAGTCATCCTGAGGCCGGCTGGGGGTCCTGAAAAGACAGTTGCTGGCCACCTCCTGGTCAGTAGGAAGAACAATCCATTTCTGTTTCCAGACAGACCCTCCTAGACTTCCGTTTTAAGTATCCAGTCGTCCTTGGTTTGATGCCTTCGAAAACTCGAGGTGCAAGTGAATCGCTCGAGGGAGTATGAAGACCATGGGGTTTTCTTCTGAATAAATATTTGTAGGATTGGACTGTCATTGTAGTTCCGTGGTTTTTCCTAAGGAACTCAGCGCATCCTTTCCTCCCAGGGAAATGGGTTAAAAAGGACCCCTACCCTTTTGGGATTTTCGCCTTTGCACGCCATTTTCCATGACAACATAGTGCTTAAGCTACAAGTAATAATTAAAGTTAAGTTTACATGTGTCCTTTCACTATCGTATACATCTGTAGATGTACTAGCTCCATCCATACCAGAATTTATGCCTTGAGTGTTGGCAGATTACGCATTTTTCTGCAATTGTCGTTGCTTGGACAAGTGGTTTACTGGTTGGATAAATTGTCACCTTTTCTTTATGTTGATCAGTTGAAACCAAGGTACAAGGAAGAGTCATGCATATTACAGAAGACCAGGGTATTAGGTGTGTTGGGGCAAGGCAGAATTGCGGCATGAAAGACTTCCTGAAGATGGGCTGCCCATATTGATGTTCTTCACAATTGTGGTATCCCAGTAGCTAGAAGTGGAACCAAAGAGCATAAACTCATTTCCATTGTAACAGAAAGATCAGTGTTAAAAATAACTGGATATCACAGAATCACTTTAATAAGGAGATCACCAAGAACTTAATCAGTACTGTGTAGAACAGTATTGAACAGGTGTCAGAACAAAATCATAATACTGCATTATATGTTTTGCAGTAACCATCAATGTTTTATTTATCAATCAAGAAATAGTGTGGTGGAGCATAATATACTGCAGTATTGCTTGTTTGATGAGCTTGTTTGATATTCTTGTTTGTCAGGAGCTAGCCTTTAATAGCTTTTGTTCCCTTGGGTTACTGCATTGTTTAATTTTTCCCTCAGCATACCAGTTGTTTTCTAATTGGGCTAATGCACCTTGGTGTAACTGTTGCATCAGGTAGCAGACAGTAGTGGCATTGCCATGAACTTCTTTGCTTTCTTGTTTTATGCACCAGACACTTCACTTTTAAAATCTCAAGTGTAATAACACAGCATAGAGAGGTTTAAGTGAAAGCAATGGAAATGTGTTGTTGACTAATCATTAAAATGGAGGATCCTAGAAATCAGTGGTAGATTTAAAAGTATACACCTTGTTCACAGACTTAAGACTCCGTGCAGCTTAGCCCCCACCCCAGTTGTTGTTATTATTTATTAGTCACTTAGAAAAAGTGACCTACAAACAGTAGAAATAATGAAGTCAATTACAATTAGCACAGCCAATAAATACCTTAAAAAACTGAAAATCTATACAAATAAAAGGCAGGTCTAAGCAGATCCTGCCCCAGAAAATGAGGCCACAAATACTTCAAAACCCCATTAGTATACATTGGTATCTGAGAGGATACCTTTGATCAGAATATCCCTATTTCAAATCTAGTTTCTGCCATCTGAATTCAACGGTAGACACAAGGAAGCCATAGACTTAATCTCTCATCTTCAGTTATCAGCAGGATAATTTCTGACAATTGTTTGTAAGGATCACAGCAAAATAATGTATGTGGAAGTGCTGTGTAAATGCCAAGTCCCCACCACCACTGAATAAGCAGTGCCTAATGTTAGTTAGCTCCCACATATCAATATCAATATGCAAAGGATGTTGAGTAATAATAATAAGTGAAATATAAAAATGGAATCATCTGTTGCTACAGTATTGGGTGTCAGTGCTGGCTTTGAGACAAGCTGGTGATTCTCCTAGACGGAGATTGGAGTTCTGGACTTTTTTCTCCTGTGTTTGCAAAGCTAATGCACTTCTTTTCTTCTTAAAAACACACAACTCTCACTGTGCAGCTGTGACAACCTTAAAGTAAATACCTGCTTCTGTTCTGGTTCCCTATTATTGGTTACCTTCTATAACTGTGGGAGGAAGTCTCCCTCACCACACTTCTTTCCCCTTTATTTATTTATGGGTTAATTGTGGTGATCCTCAGAACTTCTAAGCCATTGATGGGTCTGGATTCTAAATAATTTGTTTGTTTGTTTTCAATCAAAATCCTGCACGAAAGGGAAGCCCCCAATCATATTATGCAAACAATATTGGAGCCCCCCACACCTGTACTATAATTTCTGCTCAACAGCTTCTCTCAAAACCCGGACAGTTGCTGCCTACACATTTTCAAGTCTTATCTTCACATCCTTAAGAGCTAAAAATGTACATTTTAAAAAAATGAATACAAACAAAACCAGCTTGAAATTGTTAGCATGCTGAATACTGTACTTGATGCCAAAATCTATACTGGCTTAAGGAAATTGTAGAATAGCTTTACTGTATTTGTAGTACAGTACAGTATCCTTAATTTTTTTGGAAAGATGTAAAGTTTCTGTTCATCTGAGCAGATAAGCACTAATGTAAGAGGGATCTTTTATGCTAAGCCCAGGTTAAGGAAGGAATTATTAAATTAGTTGTTGAGACTTTATCACAACAAGCAGTGCTTTTTTCTTTAAACATATTTAGGGGTACTCTCATTTTCCTACTCATATTGAAATAATGCCCCTCAATGAGGCCAAACTTTAGATTCACAAAATGTTTAGGGGTATGCATACCCCTGCGTCCCCCCACAAAAAAGCACTGACAACAAGCATTTACTTACTGCTTTGGATAGTTTTCTGAAAATCTTTAAAATTGAACAAAAGGGCAGGGCAACAAAATTACAGTACCTGTAAAATGATTTAGCAAATCACTTCCAGAACTTAAATGTTCAGAACTGGCTTTCTAAAATCGTTTTAAGAACCAGTACCCCTGGATTCCTCCTGATGACCCATAGACTCACCAAGCTGGGGCTGATGAGCTGAAGTCCAACAACTGCTGCAGCTGGTGGTGTCAAGCAACTATTTTTTCTCTCTCACTCACTCATTCACACCCCCCCACACCCTACCTCAGAGATGAAAATGCTGGGCTATTTTGCATGAGTATGTATGGATTATGAGATAATATATGTAATGCTCTGAAAGCACTATGGTAGTTCTCATTATTATTTCAGCAGTGTTCTCCATATTTTTCAAACTAATTGGTTGTCATTCTCCATACTTTCCTTTATTTCTCCAAATTGTTCTCCCGAATCCGACATTCTTTGAAAAGCGAGAAACACGAGAAACAGGGAAAAATGCAGAAAATGAGCAAGCACATTTAAATGTGATTGATCTGCAGAATTTCATTTACATATATGTATAATTTAGGGACGCGGGTGGCGCTGTGGGTAAAACCTCGGTGCCTAGGACTTGCCGATTGCATGGTTGGCGGTTCGAATCCCCGCGGCGGGGTGCGCTCCCGTCGTTCGGTCCCAGCGCCTGCCAACCTAGCAGTTTGAAAGCACCCCCGGGTGCAAGTAGATAAATAGGGACCACTTACCAGCAGTAACTTTGCTTGCACGGAAATCGTGGCACTGCCATCACCTAGTAATTTCTAACTTATTAAAAGAAAATTGTGCACTGCCATCACCATACTGTTGTGCTTTCTTACAATTCTGAAGATAATTGACTTAGATAAAAGCTCTTATGGCATTGCCTGTTCCCAGTTCCTACATTAAATCTACAATAGGTAAACAATGTATACCAGAGCTTTATAAACAATTATAAATTTAATTTGTCACTCCTGGACTGGGCTTTAATGAATTTAAATAATAAAACTAATGATAGCCTGCTCCCATTCTGAGTAATCTCTGCTGAAAAGCCAGTGATTACCGTAAATGAATTAAAATGTCATCCTGTTCTTCTGTTTAGAAAAGGTTTTCTGTGTGCTTCTTGACTATGTTTGAGTTAGCGATGGTCCTAATTTGTTTATTAAAGTTACTCCTCATTGTCCTTCCACGGTTGTTGGTTTTCACCCAATATTAATGCTTTCCCTGATTTTTTCACTGCTGTTTAAGAACTGAAAGGGACAGTTTGGCAGGCATCATGATAAGTACTGATGGCCATTGCCACTTTGCTTGTCCTCTGCTGTAATAGCGGGTAGAGATGTTTATATAGCAAGTGATGCCTTAAATCTGGGGCCTGTCTGTCAGGCTGCCACATCTGTATTCTGTGGCTCAGACGCTATACAATCTGGATACTGTCATAACAACTCATTGTGCTCTGCTTGTTATATGACTTTAAGGAAGCAGAGTATGTCTTTTAAGTTGTGATTGTGATATAGCCTGAAGTAGGTGTGGAATGCAATTTTTGCTGACTGTCCATTCGCTCTGAAGTCCTCAGCACTCCCTCCCACATTGTTTCAGAGAGTCCCTCAACTGCTGAAGCAGCTTTTTCAGGGAGAACAAGGGGCTGCAGGGGGAAATGAAAAATTGCCAAAACTTGCCTCCCTCCCTTTCACTCATAAGAGCCTAGCACTGGATAATAGCTAGAGTTTTACAACTGCCGAAAAACCAAATATTATTTATTTCTGCCCTCTTCTAGAGAATGAAGATTCAGATCAAAGACCGGAATCTACTTTCCAGGCAGCTGCCACATCTGAAAATGATGCCTTGCAGTGCAGGTAGGAAATATGTGTAATGAAGGCCTGCGTTAGGTCTTGCTCAGGAGCAATGAAGGAGAGTTTCTGGTGATGAAGGAGTCTAGCAATCAGCTCAGCTTTCCTTCACAATATAGAATATATATCTGAATATCTGTCAGTTGCTTCATTTAGTAGTTTTGTTGGATATTCTGTAACTCCTGTAAAATATCTGTAAATGACATATTGATTCTTTATTGATGGGTTTTTGAAGTGTTCAGACGCTGATCTATTAATAATTGTATTATATTATAATTGTAATGCCCTATAGTGCACCATGTTTAACAAGAGAAAGAGCGGGATTCAATGAGTTAAACTTTGCTTTTATTGTGAAAGCACAATGTTATTTTTAAAAGCAAACTTAGGTAATCCTGGCATTTGAATTCTGGAGCATAGAGGAGATAGAAATCCCTGCTGCCTCTGTAATTACGTTTTCATCCAGGGATGCTGTGCAGCATCCCATTGATGCCAAATAGGCTTTTGCTTTAATCTCTAAGATAGCATGAATGCCAGGTAATTTTCCCCCCCATTACTACAATGTTTGTTCTCTAAACTAGCAGAGGTTTAAATATTAAATGTTCTCCTGCTGGAAATATGTTCTTTACTTTTAGATAATAGATTCTAATTAGATTATTCTTTAAGATTATTATTAGTTTTGTTAGTTTCTCCTCCAAAATGGACCCTAAGAATGACTTAAAAAAAATAATAATAGGTGGGGGTGGGTAGGGAGAGAAATACAGAGAGAGGTTTTCCACTATATTTTTCTCGGATTAGACTCACTGAAACTAATGAATACAACTAAGCCAATTCATTTAAAAGGGTCTACTTTGAGTAAAACATAGTTGAGTACCATCCTATAAGATCGCCAGTAACAACTGTGACAACTTATTCCCTAAACAAGTTATAAATTAAAGCTGAGGCATGATGAAAATATTAATGAACACTGAAAGAGAGAAAAGGTTTGAAGGGTTAACTATTAAAGGCACAGTACTTATTTTCTGTCAGAAACACTGTTTCAGGTCTAAACCAGAATTTATAGTCCTCTACAACAGAATTGTTTCTATTAAAACCATCTACTCCTAGAATGGGTACCCACTCCTCTAAAAGCACTTCTAGTCCTTTTCCATGTCCTTTTCCTCCACATGAGGAAATTATACAGGTTTATCCTGCCTGACAAATCCCTAAGCACACCTAGCTACTTCCATAGCCAGCCAGACTCTCTCTGCCAGTTAAACTATCAAATATCAGTTGTTTTAGACAGGGCGTGACCAAGGTTAAATAACCCCAGACTTGGCCATGTTGCCCTGCTCCCATCTTTGCAGAGGTCAGAGTAGTTAGCTGGGACAGGAACTTACTGCTGTGGTTAGTCCTGAAGGTTTGTTGGTAAACCCTGTGTTGTTATCTGTAAAATGCATTTGCATAAGGCTTAATGTATCTTTAAAAAAACATTATTTGCAAAAATTTCATTTATAGACATGGAGATGCTTGCATCAAGCTGTCACATTATTCTGATGTACTTTTTCTGTCTAGATGAATTAATCAGCCTGAGTGCAGGGTATGATTTGCTAAAGCCAATGTTTACAAAGTATTTCAGCTATGAAGTGGTGGTTGGACGGGCTCAGCTGGGCTGTATTTCTGCTACCTAAGGGAGTACAAAGCTGCAGAATTATTCACTGTAGCATTGGCTCAGCTGAGACAGCTTTATGTGGTTGTGTCAGGAATACACACACTAAAGAAATCTTGTTTCTTTAGCATCCCTTTCTTTAGCATCCTTTAATCAATTTCCCCATTTGATTGGAGATTCATTTATGATTGTTTCACCTGCCTGAAAACATCCTGAATTTCTCTTAAAACATATTGAATTGATCTGCTGTTTTTCTTTGAGAGGCTGCAGAGTGGGTCACCTGTGAATGCAGAAGCTACAAAGGATTGTGGAAGTGCTGACGATGGTCTGAAAGAGCAAGATGTAGAAGGAAAGGAAGAGATCCTAACTGATCAACATCAGCACCCAAAAGAGGTAGGGGACTGGCTTCCTAGACTGTCTGCACAGTATTATTTCTGAATGCATTCGTCTTTGTAGCACATGGGCAATACACTTTGTTAGGTTTATTTGTGATACTGTTCATAATACATGTGTACTTCCTGTTAAGTTTATGGGGCTGTTCTTTGTATTAAAAGAACACTTTATCACATTTGTGTACTGTTAAGACATGGATACATTTTTGGACACTTATTACTTCTCTGGGGTCTGCAAAATTTTAAAATTAAAAAACCCTTTGATGAGGAAGAAGTGTGAAAAGACATATGTGTGGCTTTGCAACATATGAGGGAGAGGGTGAAGCTAGACCAGTGTTTCTCAAATGGCTGGGAACCATTATGGTGCCTAACTCCACTTTCAATAGGGCTTTGGTGCCATGTCTCATCCAGTGCCTCCTTACTCACCTGCATTGTCCCACCTGGCCATGCTGTAGCCTTTTTTGTTGGAAAAATGCCAGCGCCAGCAAACCAACCCTCCCATATTCCGAGTAAAGTTTGCTGGGAGATGGGAGGGGGGGTTAAAGAGAGAGAGGGAAAAGAAGTCTCCCTCCTCTGAGGCTAAAAGACCAGAGGAGGTGCTGAAAAAAATGAGAGAGAGAGGTTAATATTCTTTATAATAGCAAACTAGAAATACAAAGGAAAGGGTTAGGGTTGCACTACCGTTTTGTGACTGGTGGTGCCCAATATTTTTCAGCCCTCTCAGCTGGTTCCTAGGGGTAGAAAGTTGGAGAACTTGTGAGTTACACAATAGAACAAAGTTGCAAAGAGTGTCTAATGAATTTAGACACAGATCTGACTTGGGCATATATAAATTCTGTGAATTCTTTTGAATTGACCTCTGCTGCCTTTTGGGATATCTTCAGGAGAAGCAAAGGCTAAGGAGTTAACCCGACACAAATCCGAAGCAGAGTCCCTAAGGTGGTTGGATGGTATCTTTTATGCTTCCTTCTGGCAACTCCTGCAACCAAGCTGGTGCCAAATGTATTGCTTTTCTTTCTTTTGGACCATATCAGCAAAGCCAAGAGTGGGGTCCTGTCATCTGGGCAGCCCAGGACCTCCATACACGCTGCCCAGGCTTGCACCCCAGAGAGGTCACTTCAGTGATGCAAATGCAGCCTTTGAATTTAGATAGCCGAGATAAGAATCTTGAGTAGGATTGTTGACATCTGTGTCTTGAGAGACAATGGAACAGTGTGCCAAAAAAATATATGTCTGCCAGAGTTCTTTCTTTCTGTTGCTGAGTAGCTGTAGTGTTTAATATAGTACTTAGAAAGTAATTTGATTTGCATTTGATTCTCCTTAAAAGGTAAGATTGGAATTGAAAATTGAACTTTGGAAAAAGGTCAAAGTATTTTGTCATTTTTAAGCACTTGGTTTCTTTATTCTCTGCTGTTTTCCTAACAGTAAGGCTATGAGACTACAGATGCAAATGTTGGTCTGTGCTTCATGCATTTTTAAATGAACTGAAATAGATATCTCTTAATGGCAAAGTTGTATTGGCCTAATTATTGCAATGAATGCACTTTGACATGATTTCATTTCAGGAGAATTTCTGTATGCCCAACCTGTCTTCCACTGAAGAGCTCCAAGGATGAGGTCAGGGCAATTTTGGCAGTGTTTACTAGTATTGTCAGATTTTAACCTGGGGAATATGTCTTTATACAATGTAACAGCCAGTGCACCTGCTTCCTAGTTTTGCTACTGGTCTCTTGCCCAACATATCACTTTTGTGCTACTATTTTCGTACTTTAGATTTGCTCCAGGAGAAGAGGGTGGGTGGTATGATGACTAGTGTAGTTATGTAGAGGGAGGCACAGTAAGTGCATCATGTCTTAAAAGATATATGCAGAGTCTCCTGGTAATCTAGTTCCTACCCTTAAGAAATCTCCATGGTTTTCGGTATGTGACCTAGAAATTGTGCATCAACAGGTAAAATTTAGCAATTAAATGCAAATAAATGTAGTAATTTCAAAAATATATGGTGTGATTCTAAGGAAGCTTGTGTCCTCTGCATAGGAGGCTGTAGTGCGGATGACAAAGTATCCTGACCCACAAGGACCAGGTGATATAGTCATGATACAGTCTGAATACACAGGAGCAGTAGATGTCCTCACAGCAGAGCTGGAAACTACAGATTTACTGGGTGAGCAGAAGAAAGGTAAGATTTGAGACTATATCACTGTCTCAGGGTATTATTTATTAGTGGCTAGAGTTCTGGACAAATCCCAAATATAATATTGATACTCTGGTATGATAAATCTTCAAACATGAAATTGATTTATAAGTTTAGAAAAATAGGAGACTGGGACATTAGACTATGTCTGCTCTTATTTTGTTTTTAATTTATTTATTTGTTTTAATTCAGTGGTCTTTGAGTTCAATTGAAAGGCAGTCCAACCTGTAAAATACATGGCTAGAACACTATGATACAGTTGGAAATCTGCAGGGAAGCAATGGAATGGAGACACCAAAAGAGCTGAAATAATTGATTTCATTTATTTATTCAGCCCTGGAGCAAGGTTCTCAAAGCTATATTTCTCTGGGGGTGGTCCCCCCCCCCCGACTAGAAATTCATTTAAAACAGCCCTTTTGGCATAGCAAATCAACTATGTTAGGATAGTGTTGACAATTAAACGCATTGTCACTAATTCCCCGTGAGAAGCTTTTCTATGTGAAACTAAATGCATACTAAGTCTGGGTATATAGTATGTTTAAATATGAGATAGATTGCTTTTGTCAGTGACATTAAAAGACTAGTGTCAATCATCCCAAGGTAAAGTTGGGTTTAGATGAAGAGGGAGAAAAATAGTTACTTGCAGTTTCGAAGAGCTCTACCAGCATAAAGGTGGAGGAGAACTATTATTTCTTTTTGAACTTTTTGAAAGTTGGCAACCATATGAGCAGAATTCACCATTGCATCAGTGGGGTTCAGTTTGCACAAGGAGACTCTCCTTTCTTCTTCTTTCCTTTATGTACCCAGGGGATTTCTCAATTCTTCAGAGCATATATTGAGAATGCCTGGGGGACTGCAGGAAGTCCCATCGCACAAGCAAAATCTATTACGCTTGTTCGCAGTGTTAGATACAACCTTATGATTTAGAATGTACAATGAAATTAAAGACTATGCTCTCTGTTGATTACAAGCTAGTAATACTTTCCTTGTTTCTTTCAGCTCGTCCTCCACCTCTAATTCCCCCCACTACTTGGACAAGCGCCAAGATAAGGGAGTTCAAAACAAAGATGACAAAGGAGAAGAATGCCCGAATGGTAGTGAAACGGGGTGAGGTGTTAACAGTCCGGGTGCCAACTCACCCTGATGGGAAGCGTGTCTGCTGGGAGTTTGCCACAGAAGATTATGACATTGGCTTTGGAGTCTATTTTGATTGGACTTCTGTTACTAGCACTGCAATTACTGTGCAAGTTAGTGAATCAAGTGATGAAGATGATGATGATGAAGAGTTTGAAGGTCAGTGCAGAACTGGGCAAGAGTCATGATTGTTGCCTTAATATCAGCATGCTGTGATCCAGCTCCGAGGTTACAGGGAACCAGGCAGAGGGCCTTCTTGGTGGTTATGCCCACCCTGTGGAATGCCCTCCCATCAGATGTCAAGGAAATAAACTTCTATCTGACTTTTAGAAGTCAGGGAGGTTTTTAATGTTTGAGGTTTTTTGTGTTTTAATATTTTGTTGGGAGCCGTCCAGAGTGGCTGGGACAACCCAGTCAGATGGATGGCATATAAATAATAATAATAATTACATTATGTAATATACAACACACAAGAGAAAAGGGACATGGAGGGAAGAGGAATTATGACTGTCATGTCTCATAAAATAAAAACATAAAACACATACTGAACATCAGCATAAATTATAAGCAACATCGAGATTAAAAAAGGAAATCTGTAGAACTTCATTGTCATCAGCAGACACTTAACTTAGAAAGCCATGGTCCACTGCAAAGCATAATGTTTTCTTCTTGTGATCTTCCTTAGTCAGTCAGATGACACTTTTTAGTCTTTGCTTTGTTCACTGATGCTTTGTGTGTTTCTTTATTCTCAGGACCTATTCCAGTTGGTGATGTGGAAAGAGGCTCCAGAAGCTATTTGCGAACCCGTTATGGGGAGATCATGCCTGTCTACCGAAGGGATAGCCACCGGGAAGTGCAAGTAGGCAGCCACGATTATCCAGGCGAGGGCATCTACTTGCTCAAATTTGACAATTCATACTCACTCCTACGCAACAAGATTCTCTTCTTCCATGTCTATTATACCAGCTAGAGCAGTTAATGAGATTTGGAGTGGGTGGGCCATAAGACACCAAAGCAAGCTGCCTGTCATGACTAGTATCTCCTAACAGGCACACATTTGATGGCTGAATCTCTATGCTTATGTATGGATGACTTCCTTCAACCCTTCCTCACTGTTAAAGTGATGCACGTGATTATTGGCAGCTCATTTGTTTTATGCAGACACCAATCTGAGAGCTTAGTTATAGAAAGCAAATCACTGGACCAGGTTCAGGTGTCTGCTTTTACGTTCTATTGCACTTCCATGAACTGAAGTTGAAATATGCCTTTTCTTTTGGGGTAAATATATTATCAGCTTCTACTCCTCTATCTGCAAATAATCACTGGGATCAGCTGCCAAAGCAGCCTGTAGAAACTGCATTGTTACTATGCTGCAGTGCACTGCCATTTGCTTGGTCTCTGGGAAGCTTCTGAAATGGCACGTATGTATGCCATCCAGGCCATTGCCAGCCTGTCTTCTCTCTTCTAGTTCCGTGCAAATGTAGCTAGTTTATCGTAAGGCAAAATTGGTGTGTATTTGCTGGTATAGATACCTGGATTTCACAGCTTGTCTGAAAGAATTTTAAGTTACATGTATTTTCTCTCAGAAAGGGCACAAAATGGGAGAAGGAAGAAGGAAGCATAAACCAAATAATTCTAGTCAAGCAATTCACCAAACAAAGATTCTTCCTCCTCCAGACCTTTTGGGGCTAATGTTATTTTCATTGGTTGACTTTTTGCCTGAATTCAGTGTAGCTTAAGATAGGGGTATCAAACCCAAAATGGGCTGGTGTGTCAATTTATTCCAACAAGTGGATTCATTTTAAAAAAAGTCACTTTCACTGGAAGCAAAATATGATAATGTAGTTTGCATATGATAATATAGTTATGCTTGTTCATATTTGCTGTGCCGTGCCTGTGCACTCCACCAATAAGCACTCCAAGCTACAAGAAGGCCATTGTGCACAGTCATATGAGTACACAGCATCCCTTTCCATCCCAGTGATGGAAAACTGAGCCATGCAGTAGCATTTATTGGCAAGTGAGGTCCTTTATTCTGGGCATCAACGTCTTCGCCCTCATGATATTGTGTAGTGTGTTCTATAATGCACATAAGGGATTTTCCTCAGCCTTATTTTTGACACCTCTAGTTTAATATCTCAGGTGTTAGTTGGTAAGAGAGCCTCTTTCCTTGCATTCAGGCTTCGGAGGCCATTGCCAGTCTTTAATACAGCATAAGCGGCACAGATAACTGTTACATTTCAGAGGAGTGGCATCACCTATCGTTCATCACCTATCGTTCACAGCTCAGGTTTTATAGGGTATATATGTGTAGGTCATATAGTCCTTTCTGCAGCAAAGGACTAATACATGTATTTATCAGGATTTCAGAAGCAACTCTGGAGTATGCCTTTTAAAACAGCGGCTGCTGATGTTTATCTCTTGTGTTTGCTTGGCTCTTTGCATGATTGCAGCAAACAGTTATAGTATGAAGGATACACACACATTTTGGTGACCTTTTGAGGAAATGCCCTTGATCATATATACAGCTATCTTTTGCTGATAGTTTAGTACTAGAAGGTGCAATGCCAAAGAATCTATCTTCCAAACAGACATGATGGTTCTCTAACTATGCCATATTAAGTACTTTGCCAAGGAAGGGAAAGTTGCAAAGCAAATAAGGTAGCAGGAGACTATTGGTTCCATTGAACTTTTTTTTAAAAAAGTTAAAGACTTGGAGTGAAAACCTAAGTCTTTTAATTGTTGGTAGTGAGGCCTGGCAAACAAGGGCTCCTGCTAACTTTAAAAGTGGAAGTCAGGTGTAGTTGCTCCTAGGCATTTTGTTTTTATTTGCAGTGAGAATGGAGAAATTAGTGGCTGATTCCAGGCCAATAAGTGAGAAGCACAGAGTTTGCAAAGCACAGGACTTGCAAGAAGCAAACTTTGGGCTTATCTTTCTGCAAATCAATTGGAGGGGAAGAGAATGAGAGGCAATCCAGTAGCAACGCAAATTGATTATTTGGCTTAAAGGACAGTATGTGTATTTATTTTTCTATAAATATCCTGAACAGCAGCTGCTGTATTTTTGAAAAGCCAGAAACAGGAGCTCCCTTGTGTCTCACAGTTGCACAGGCCATGGTTAGCTTTAAAGACTCTCTTCCCTCTGAATGTTTTTAAACACTGTTGTTCATTATTGTTCAAAGCATTTTCCCTGTGAAAGTTAATTTCTTGACTTCCCACATTTTACAGAACACACAGAGTCTGCTAAATATGTCCAATACAAGGGCTCTTATTTTGGTATAGACAGGTAAAATGATAGGTATTTGCCTTACCTAGGGTTCTGCTTGAAGAGCAGACTATAAAGACAGATTGTGTGAATCAAGTACAGTATGCAAGTTTGAGTTTGTTTGTTACAGAGTTCTCTGCTTTTTATCACACAAGTAATATGAAAATCTCTGTTCAGCACAATAAATTTGTCTTTGTTCTTTAGCCCATGCCTGCTAGAGGTGTGTTTGCTCATGTTAATTGCTACTTAAGTTGTACTGCATGTTCTACCTATAAATATAGGAGGCAATGTCTCCTTCCTGGCTGGAAATAGCTCACTCTGGGAAAGAGAACAGAAGTTGAAATTAAGATTTAATAACCTAAACTGCAGTAGATTCAACTTGAGCAAAGGCCTTACATGTTCTCCTCTCTACAGTCTGTTTAATAACACATTGGTTTCAGTGCTGCTCTTGTTGATTAAATCAGTTTAAAATTGGTCTTTTGCCAACACACATACAAATGTAATGTACTTTTTGAAACCATGTTTGAAGATAAATACACACACACCACATGCCTTTCCAAATACTGACGGGACTTAGAACTGTTCAGCTATAGAGATACAGCCAGGGCACAATGTGTTTATGGTTGTCCTATTTTCACATCATGAAATCTGGATCTCTTTCTTGGATCACAGACCTAAAATCCCTGGAGAACTATCATCTTGGCATCTAAAGAGTTATGTGGGAGATAGCACAGGGAAAATGCACATACTTGTCTGGGATTGATACATGTAATTTTTAAAGCATTTTTTGAGATAGAATCGAAAACCAGTTTCAGGCATTAGGACAGATCAGCTATGATTTCAGATCAGGGGCCAAAGGGATCGAAATTTTCTAAAATAATTTTGAGGACCTCATCAATATGGTGTAACAACACACTTGAAGTACTTTGATCCCTGCTCCATTTGTTCTGTGTGATGTTTTTGAAGCAACTGAATCCTTCAGCAATTTGTTGTTTCAAATTGAGAGAATATTTTATAATCATCATCAATCTTCCCTTATGTACTTTATTTTTACTTCAGCACTTTCATAGGCAAGTGTAGAATTGGCATGACTGAATTAATTTGGAAAATTTGTAGCCCTGTTCCATTGTATGATCTCTGTGGTTGGGGACTTGCTAGCTTCTGAAAGGCTTATTTTGCTTTTGTGTTTTTCAGTTCTTTACAGCCCAGTTTCTGCTTATTTTGCTTCTGCCTCTTACAAAAAAAAAATTCTCTGAGAATCTTCAAGTGAGAGGAAAGCTTATTAGAATATAAAAACAAAACAACAACCCTTCATGTTCTTCCCAAGAGTCTGTCTGGTCAGTATCCTGTTTTCAACAGTGACCTTATCCAGATGCTTCTTGAAAGCCCCAAGCAGAGGATGAAAGCAACAGCCCTCTCACACTGTTTGCCTCTGCGCAGACTGCACCATTTAGCTAGTTGATAGCTCTGTCCTTCCATTTGCCTAATACCCTTTTAATGCCTTTTAAAGTAGTAAATTACATAAATCAAGTATATTGGTATACCATTTCTTTTTTGTTTTTTTCATCAAGCCCGTAGTTTCCTTTCTCCTTTCTGCTGCAAGAAGCATGTTAAACAGGTCATCATCTGGGGCTAATCAATTTTACATCCCTTTGTGCTGCTTTGGGAAAGTAGCCTTATCTCCTTAACCAGGATGCAGTTGCCAGGAAATGATAAAGAAAAAGTTGTGTGATGTAAAGCTAAGGCATCCAATCATGTGTAGATGAACTCGGTGGGGCTTTTTTCTGAGTAGACATGTATAGGATTGCATTGTAAAGTCTCCCATTCCAAGGACTTGTGCCTCATAAAGCATATTTCTGTTACCTTTCCAGAAGGCCTTAAAACATTTTACAGATAAAACTGAGGTAAGCATAGCTAACAATGTAGTTGTGGTTAATTTACAGAAGAGAGATGATTTCATCCCCAAGGATATTCCTATATACTTTATTTGGACCAGGAAACAGCATCAATCTATAGTTATTCATCCCCTATCAGCACCAAGACCAAACTCCATGCAGTGGCTGTGCATCTTGCATTTTATGTTGATGTCTTTGAGTGATTAGTGGAATGACTTTTCATGGTGGTCATTTTTTATTTGTTGATTTGCTCGCCACTGTGGACAAGGATTACCTTCTACCAGGCAAGTCTTTGTGTTTGTTTAAACATATTCTTAGATGCGCAGGCTAAAAATACTGAGCCATCATAAGTGGAAAGCATGATAAAGTGTGGGAACTCCTGATCTTGATCAAAGGCAGTTTGTGTAGTTTAAACAAACACACCTGTACAATAACTCTGTTGCTATTTTCTTGTGTCATCAGATATAGTGGATCAATGAAGTTTATTGGGTTTAAATGTATGACCCTGTTCAAAGAAACCTGTGAACTGAATAATACACACACTTGGTTCAATCCTAAGGCAATACACCTACAAATAAGAGTTTACAGATGCTGACTGGTTCTTGTGAGATATATTTCTGAATAAACATGGCAAGAATTGGATTACATGAAAGTGTAAAACTGCTACTTTAGAACAGTGGCATACAACGTAATGGCTAAATTCCAAAGGGCTTGCATTAGCCCAATAGCGAATTCTTGTACTCCAAAGCCCAGTACCACATCAAACCATTTCCTATGAAGATGCCTTATTTGAAGTTATTTATTATTATTTATTAAATTTCTATATCACCCTTCATCGGAAGATCACATGGTGGTTTACAATACAAAACCACAAAAATGCATAACATAATACCAAACACAAGCAATACCCCCTGCCTGTTTTAAATGCTATAGATTGTTTAATTAGCCAAAGGCCTAGGAGAAGAGGAATGTTTTTGTCTGGTGCCTAAAGAGATGTAACAAGTGAACCAGATGTGCCTCCCTGGGGAGTATCCCACAAGTGGGGGCTACTGCAGAAAAGGCCCATTCTTGTGTTGTTGCCTTTGGACCTCTCACACAAGAAGGGCCTCAGATGACGAACGAAGGCTTCAGGTTGGTTCATATGGGGAAGAGGTGATTCTTGAAGGCTTTATAGGTCAAAACAAGCACTTTTGAATTGGGTCCGGAAACTAATTGGCATCGAGTGTGGTTGGGCCAGGATGGGCATATGCGCAAACTGTCTTCCCTTGGTGGGCAACCTGGCTGCTGAATTCGGCACCACCTGAAGTTTCCAAACTGTCTTCAGAGGCAGCTCCATGTATAATGTGTTGCAGTAATCTAACCTAGAGGATCCCAAAGCATAGACAACAGAATTTAGGCTATCCCTGTCCAGATAGGAGTGCAGTACAGTCCCATCAGAATGATGCTGATTTCCTGAGGTACTGAGCAAGGGGCTTTCCCATTCCTGTTGTATGCTATCCTTTGAGCTGACAAGAGACTGATGGCTTCTCCCAAATATGTAGGACCCCACTACCACCCAAGTGGCTTGGCAGAACAGAATGGGTCACTGCTGTTCAAGAAGCACATGTCCAATGCCCTCTGGGATGTGTTGGGGCCTGGGCAATAATGAAAAAGAGAGACGTGGCTGAAATAATTAAAATCACAAAACAAGTGGGTTGATGATATATTTGACCAGCTTATGTTCAAATTGCTGGAAGTAAGCTTTTGAATTGCACAAACCTCTCCTTCCGTAGTAGATGTTGAAATAAAAAAATAAAACAAATGATCCTATATTTTTATGTCAGCTGAGCTGTGCTTTGAAATAAAGTGCATTTTAAAACACGTAGTTGAAATACTTGGGCCAGATTTTAATAAGCAGTTCAGCCAACAGGAGCCAGTGCAACAAGTCCTGCTAGTGCAACAGAGCTTTTCTCCTCTCCTCCCCCTGCATATGTTCCCCAACATAATAGCACGCAGGGGAAGAAGCAGGGAGGTTGTTTCATCTGGCAAGCAGAAATGCTTGCACTGATGGAATGATCATAATAGCGCAGTGCTGAATTCCTTCCATGGTTGTTTTTGCTTTGAACCCTTAAGCCTAGGCCTGAGTCAAACTTCTAAGAAGCTCCCTTGTAGCATTTTAAACAAACTTGGTATAAGCAGCTAAGGTGTTGCCTCACTTGCTCTCTGTTTCACCATTAATCATCAATGGGCTGACTCTTGGGCAAGTTGTAGGATACCTAGAGAGGCTGAACTTTATTGAACATAGCAAACTGTACTCCAAGGTGTTAACAGTAGCCTATACTCAAACATTGTGGCTAAGACAAAAGGAACAGACTATCTGGAGTTATCAACCTCTAGCTGCAACAACATGCCCTCTAGTCAGAACACCACCATGGTACACCATTTCTGTAGATTGTAGGATTTCTGTCAGTGATTTATGATCCATGTGATATTATTTTTGTTTCTTAATCATTAATTTTGTGCACAAATATGCTGCTCACATCCTCCCAAGCATTCACCCCCCCAAAAAATTGAGAGGATATTTTATTAAGCTATGTCACTGACTCGTACTGGCGAGATAAAGTTTTTCTAGTGTGTTTGCTGTTCCTTGTAGAACTTGGTTAATGTATGTTTCATTGCATGAAGTAAACCTGTGACTTGTGTGTTTGCATTTTTCAAAAAATATTTCAATAAACATTTTCATCATACAGCCTCAGCCTTCCGTCTTTCCTTTGCTGCTGTGAAGAAAGAAGAAAATGAACTGCAGAGGTAAAGGGGGTGTTGGTCTGAGTTCTTTTCTAAGCGAAAAGTGGCACAGGTTCAATTCCTGCTATCTCCAGTTAAGGTAAATGTAAAGGTAAAGGACCCCTGGATGGTTAAGTCCAGTCAAAGGAGAAGAATCTCAGCTAAAGGAAATTCCTGCCTGGAACCTTGGGGAGCCACTGCCTGTCAGAGAACAACAGATGTGTCAAGTTGGCATATGGCCGCTTCATATGCTCATAAAGGTTCTGTCTCACTCCTGCAAGACAGTTAAGCACTTACTGTTACAGAGGCCCTTTGCACATTTTTTTTAAAATGGCCGGAGCTCTTCTTCACACAGTTAATTTCTGCCTAACCTCACCTACTCAAGGTCCCCTTAATTGCTCCCAAGTGTTCTCTCCAGCACTGAGGCGTCCAGGTGGCTCCATAGTATTCTGGGGAGCTTTGGGCTATGAAGGAAGTGGGATGAAGGCTACAGTGCAAGTGTCATGCTGAAGGTGCCCAAGTAATGATTAGTGCACATGCCATAAGTGTGGGCCCCGGACCAGTGGCTGGATGCAGCGGTGAGATGGATGACGGGAAAAACAAGCTGACCTTGAATCCTGGCAAGACAGAGCCTATGTGCGTGAATGGTTCCTGTGCCTGAGAAATTGATTAATTGCTTGCCCTGGGTGGGGTTGCACTCTTGCTGAAGGAGTAGGTATGCAGTGCTCTGAGATCCAGCTTTGTCACTGGAGGACCAGGTAGCCTCAGTGGCTAGAAGTGGCTTTTACCTGCTGCAACAAATGCACTCCTTGTGCGCTTGACCAGGAAACTGCAGTTAGTGCAGAATGCCGCAGCACAGTTCCTGACAGGAGTGAGACCCTATCAACACACAGCACCCCTGTTCAGAAGTCTGTACTGGTTGCCAATTTGTTACTGGGCCAAGTTCATGGTATTACTATTGGTATATAAAGCTTGGGACCTGTTGCCTTACCTCATATATGCCCACTTGACACTTTGATCTGTGGAACTGGCACTGTTACAGGTGCCAACTAATATTTGTTTTGCACTTGTAAGAAATCAGTCTTTTAGTGTGGTGCACCTCCACTTGGAACCATGTACATCAGGCAGGTGCCTTCACTGTATTCTTTTCAACACCTGCTTAAAAAAAATATTTAGGCATGACTATTGAGACACATAGATGTTGACATGTCTTAATATATTTTTAGTCTACTGCTAATTTTAATCTTTAGTATTCTTAATTGTTTTTATGTGGTTTTTATTGATTATTTTAATTCTTGTAAGGTGTCTAAGAGGTTTTATTACAATCGAGCAGTATATAAATTTTGTCAAATAAATTCCAAAAACGCTGACTGTGTAAGGCTTGGCCATGATGGCATTCAACTCTTCTTATGTGTACTGTTTTGAGAGTGTGCACAGCCTTACACCACCAGTTCTTTCAAAGAGATTAAAAGGGAAACCTCTGAAAGATAAACGGAGCTGTGAAAATTCTTTATCAACTATACTGTACTAGTTCAAAATTCAGCATCTTCTTCTTTTTATTTATAATATAGAGGCGCAACTCATAGAATGGAGTATGTCAGCAATGCCTAATGACCTTTCAGAAGCCAGATAGAGGGACTGAGCAGAATTTCTAGGGTGTGAGTGGTAATGGGGAAGGAAGTGAAAGGCTTCAGTGCCCTGCCTAAGTTTCTGATCCTGCTTCTGCTAGTCACAAGTAAAAGCCATGATGCAAGATGAGAAAATGCAAACAATTGTGGTTAATTTTCATAATTCTCCAGTTAGGGAAGGTTTCTTAAGATATACACCCCCTGATAAAAGGAAGCAACTGATGATATGATAAAACTAAGGGGATTTGTCAAATGAGCTACTTACTAGGCTTCTGTCTCTGCAGTGCTTCTCCAAGGTTACTGCTTTATTGCTGCCTGGAAGGGCATTCATAGTGCAAAAAACAAACAAAAACATCAGTACTGAAAACCCCCAGGATACTTGTGGTAGGAACAATTACAGGATTTCAGTAGAAAGCTACAGGACATGCACCATGTAGAAAATAAAGTTTCACCCTGACACTCGTGCTGCACCGCAAACCATATTTAAAGCAGATGGTATATAACTGCCCCCATACAATCTTGAGCAAAAATAATGAATGCATAATTAAAAGTATGCCTGGAGTGGGGGGCAGAGATCCCTTGCCTTAAAAATAAATATACAAGAGATACTTACTTGCTGCTAAGAGGGCTCTTGGATTCTAACAATATGCTCCCCTTGCAAATAATTGTGTTAGCCTATATTTGTAGGCTCAGATTTGAAACACATGTTGTGTGAGCTAAATAAACAGCAAATACTTAAATCTTGCCTGCATTCGGATCTTTTGGCTCATTTAGAATATGAAGTCAAATTTCTTTCAGTGGTGGGCATTTTATATACCAATGGAAGCTACCCTCATTGCACACAGCCTCGTCGTGGAGGTTTTCTTGGTTTTTTTGTTTTGCACAGGCAGCTGAACAAACTTGCATCACAAGGCAGCCTGGAGCTAGACCAAGCTGATTATCTGAAAACATGGATAAATGTTCTCTTCTGATTGTGTGCTCTGCTTTAAGTAGTTTTTTCCTCCAAGGGACAAATAGCCCTGAAGCACGAAACTGCAATAATGAGCACATTACTGGGGACAAACACATAAGTGTGAAATGTTGCAGTGCTGACATGACCAGTGTTCATAGAATATTGCTGAGTTGCAAGGGATCCCGAGGTTCATTCTAGTCCAACCCCCTGCATCTGTTGTTCAGATGCATTGGCTAGAAAACCATAGGCCATTTCTCCTCACTTCCTTTGGCTGCATATTATCCATGTTTCTATTTGGATAACACAAGTTACAGGCATAAAAGGAGAATCATTTTGCACAGGGATGGTGCTAGCATTAGGCAGAAGGTGGCAGAAGCCCTCAAGCAATCCCTCTAGCACACCTTCCCATTCCCCTCATTTGGAAATCAAAACTCTGTGTGCCACAGACTTGCCATCTAAACTAAACTAAACTAAACCTGCTAAACTAGTCTGCTTCCATGAAGTGCACTGGAAAACATTATCCTGTCACCATCATTGAAGTAAGATTCAGTTGCCAGTCCAGTCAACTTCTGTACATGGGAGAGGGGCTGCTATCTAGCCCTTTGCCTCAGGGAGCACCATGTCTTGGGCTGTCGGCTTACACAGATTTCTGCTTCTGACCACCAAAGCCTGTGAAAGGCTGAGGGAATCTCCAGGAAAGGAGGAAAGGGCCCACATGAAGAGTGGTTGACAATGCCTGAATATATAAAGCAGGCATAGGCAAACTCGGCCCTCCAGATGTTTTGGGACTACAACTCCCATCATCCCTGACCACTGGTCCTGTTAGCTAGGGATTATGGGAGTTGTAGTCCCAAAACATCTGGAGGGCAGAGTTAGCCTATGCCCAATATAAAGCTTTGAATGTTGCAAAACAATATTTCAACATGTCACGTTAAGCTACAAAATGTTCCCTAATAGAAGTACACTGTGTTGCCCACCAAACATGCCATATCTCCAAAGTGACCTTTGGTCTTTTCGCCTTGCTTTCAAGTAGAGCTAATAGATGCCACGTCTTGGAGAACATCAGCAGGAGAAATATGATGGCTTTCCCTCCCTCGTTCTTTTCCACCCCACACTCTCTTCATTGCACAACAGAAATGGATATTGGCTCAAAGTGAGTAGCTTTAAAGGAGCTGTCTACAAAAGCATATTAGTCCATCTAGCTCACTATTGTCACCGTACTAAATAGCAGCTCTCCAGGGTTTCAGGCAAGGAACATTTCCAGAGCTACCTTGAGATGCTGGAAACTTGACCTGGAACATTTTACTACAGTAACTCCAGCACACAGTAAGGCAAAATGCTTAGGAAACCGAAGAGTTGGTTTTTAGCAACAAGAGCTTATAGAATGAAAATGCTGAGAAACCTCCGGCTGGGTGTGGTTTCCTTGTTTGCAGCTTATTTGAAGCAGGGGGTTACACCCTTGTTCACATTTTGAGAAGGCTACCCTAATACAAAACAGGAGTTTTGAATTCAAGTCCAGTTCCCTGCATCTTCGACTTCAGATATTAGGCCTGAGAAAGCTAAGCTTTCCCTAAAATGTTGCAAATGTTGTGCAGTCATGCATATTTAAATTAAATGAGTTTTATTAAGCAGGTTGACATAGATTCACATTTTATGCTTTTAATACTATTTTAAAAAAATGTTTGTTGGTTTAACAGTCTGAGTATTATTATAAATACTCAAGCTCCCTTATTTCTTGTCCAGAAACAACTTTACAACCTTTATTAGAAGAAACCCAGTGAGTAGATTTTAAATGGCTTAATTGTTCCTAATGGTCTTTGAGAGTGTTAAGTGTTTCATTAACAGATACATTTGATTCAGGTGGCCTGTCAGATTTTTTAAGCCATCTGTCTCAAAAGATAAGCATTTCTGAGAAGAGAATTGCACAATATATTTCTGAGAAATTTCTGAAGTTTTTGGATTGGTTTCATCACAGGTACCCAAGACCTGCTGGGCTGATGCTGCTGAGAAAAAAACAGTCTCCATCAACACATATGACAACTAATATACATGAGACAATAAGGAGCACGTCTTACTTAAAAACTGTCTCACCTACTTGATCTTTTTTTAAAAAAAAAATCCTACTAACACACTGGTTGGTCAGTAACTGCAATGGCTCACTCGTTTTCTCCTACTCAACAGTAACATTGAAATCTTATGCATACGTACTCAGAAGTAAACCCCACTGAATTCAATGGGGCTTACTCTATGGGAATTGTAATTAGAGTTGCAACCTAGAAAACAGAATCTGGTTATTTAGTTGATTTTAAAAAATGAAATCCTAACTGCAGTACATTGTTTAACAGGAACTGGTAGACTATATATTTATTTGGACAGCAATTTGATACATTAACCTTCCGCAACCTGGTGCCCTCCAGATACAGTGGTACCTCGGGTTAAGAATTTAATTCGTTCTGGAGGTCTGTTCTTGACCTGAAACTGTTCTTAACCTGAAGCACCACTTTAGCTAATGGGGACTCCTGCTGCTGTCGCACCGCCGGAGCACGATTTCTGTTCTCATCCTGAAGCAAAGTTCTTAACCCGAGGTAATATTTCTGGGTTAGCGGAATCTGTAACCTGAAGCGTATGTAACCTGAAGCGTTTGTAACCCGAGGTACCACTGTATTTTGGACTACAACTCCCAGCGCTGGTTGGGGCTGCTGGTGTCCAAATCATCTGATGGGCATCGGATTGGAAAATGGTGCTATAGACACTTAGGTCCCATTGAACTTAATAGAATAGATCTGCAGAGGAATTCACTGTCAGTCAATTTATAAGCTGCTCTTCAGAAATAGGACCATCACAGTGTAAACTACATGTTTCCTCAGAATAAATCCTATTGAGTTCAATAGGACTTTCAAATAAATGGGTGACATACAAACTATTTATTGCCTTTCTCAATCGCTTCCCACGAGGCACTATAATGATATATAAAAAATATATAAATTGCATATAGAAACAATTTAAAAACCCCTATAAATATTAAAAACAGTTTAAAACAACACCACATACATAAAATCAGTTCAGATCCAGAACAGCAAGTGGGATACAGATTTTAGAAGGCTTGGCGAAAGAGGAATGTTTTTAGCAGGCACCAAAAAGCTAAGAGAGAAGGTGCCTGTCTGATATGCAAAGTGTTCCAAAGGCTAAACACTGATGTCTTCATTCACACATCTCATTTCAGTGGCCAGAATTACTCTTCATTCGTTTTGTGTGTCCTGATGCCACTGTCTATGCGTGGAGAGATTTCCCAGGTGTGGTGGGGCTATAAACAAAATTTAAGAGAGAAAGGCAAGGCTTCTCATTTTGCAGTTAGGATGGTCTGTGCTCTGGCCCCAAGATGCTGCTAGGCCTTGGGGCCAAAGCCCAGGATCTCCACCCACGGCCAGCCATAGGGCAGGAGCAGCAGCCAACAGTTTCCAGGTCTGGTGCTGATTTCTGCAGCATGTGAAAGTGCAGGTGCTCAAGAGTATTCCTCTCTTTTTAAAAATCAGGCCCCACAACTATTTGCTCCCTCTGTATCAGAAATATAGCAGCAGCTGCAATACATGGAGAAATGTCAATGGTGCGCGCTGCACAACTGGAATCATATCTATGCCATCAAAAGCCGCCCGCGTCGAGGGTCAAATATTTCCGAACTGCACCAGCTTTCTAGCCTGCCCCTTAAAACCACCAAGTATTTCCCCCCACCCCCTTGCAAATAAACCACGGTCGGCCTTGTCACACCTGAAACTGATCAAACAGGGAGCAGGAAACTGGCTGAGACCAAAAAGCTCCGCCCTGGAATATGCGGGGCTATAATAAAGAGCACCTCTGAGCAGCTGCAGAGTGCCCGCGCCCAACCCAAGCCCGCCGCGTGTCGACCTACCCAGACTTGGGACTACCCTGACTCGCCCGTGGTGTCTGGGTGGGCGCCTTTGGGCCTCAGAGCGCCGCTCCCTCTGCCATGCTCTCTGGTGCTTCCAGTTTCCTGAGTCTGGATGGCTTGGGGACGCCCCGCCGGCGATGGAGCTGGGCCCCCGGAGGCCTCTGGCAGCGGGGGGAGGCCGCCCTGGTCCCGCAGCCCCGCGGAGGGGCGGATTTCTCCCGGCGGGAAGGCAAGCTCCACTTCTACGCCCTCTGGTCTCTGCGCGAGCCGCCCCGGCAGCTCAGTAGGTGAGGCCTGCGCGCGGCGGCTCGCCTTTCCCGCCATCCTGGAGGGTGAAAGCGGGCAGAGGTTTAGGGAAATTTATGTGTGAAAAAGCCTGCGCCTCAGGTTCACAGGTCACTTTTATGAAACGGTGTTTTCGCACGTGAAAACCAACAGCAACCATGAAAACAGCGAAGAGTCTTGTGCGACACCGGGAGCCTAAGCACTAGCAACGTTTTGGGTGCGTTAGGGTTGCCAACGTCTCAGCTAGCCAGTGTAGGTGTGTGCCTTTAACAGCAGCTTGATGGGCAGACATTTGCAGGCGGTGTTGCTTATCTACATGCTGCAAAAAGCCGATTTCTGCATGACCAGCAGACAAGCACTTAAAATAGGCATGGATGTTTGCAACCTTTCACCGTTTCCCATATGAAAATAAGTGTGTGTGTACCTGCATTATCCCAGTTCTCCCACCCAAAGTCAAGGCCTGGCCAGAACTCTTCATTGCTGATTTTTCTCCCTTTATGCATTTTTCTGTATCTTCTCTTGCACTGTTTTATGAATCCATTGTGTATTAGAAAACTGATTAGCTTTAAAATTCATATCCTCTATTTTAGCTCCTTAGGGGGCTAGGTCTTTTAACTTCCACTTATTCAGCAGAATGTCTAATCTCACAGTGCATCTGGCTGCCTTTGTTACACAACATACATTAGAACTAATTGAACAGTGTTTAGTATCTGAATAGGCAATTATGGCAAGCAAGATGGAAGGGAAGTTAGAGGAATCCACAAAACCATCAAGATATAAAATGGGGGCAGCTATTGGAGAATATAGACTGCACCTGGTAAATGGGGACTGCTGGAGCCCATGCACATAATGCAAAGAAAGCCGCTTTAAAAGCAGTGCTCATAACTGGCATAATGAAGGGTTTCTATTCAGATTACACATGGTGTGAGCCTCACATTTGTAAATGCCCTCAGTTGGGTCCCTTCTGTCCTAGAAAGATAGTTCCAAAATTTCAAAGCAGGTTGTCAACCCCTCTTTCTTCTTTTAGGGAACAAGTGAGAAGGAATCCCTTTGCTGTATACATGCTATTATACCTTTAAAGCACATTTTCCCCTCAAAGAATTCTGGGCACTGTAATTTACCCCTCAGAGTTAACTACAGTGCCCATAATTATTTGGGGGGGAAATGTGCTTCAAATGTGCTTTAAAGGTATTGTGCACATGGGCGTAGCCAGGAATTATTTTAGGGGGGCAGGCTTTATGTTGTATCTGCGACACAATTGGTCAGTTAAGTATTTTTATTTATTTACCGTACTTGATTTAGGAGGGCAGCTGTCCCCTCTGCCCCCTCCTGGCTACACCCATGATTGTGCGTACACAGCACCAGTCTTTCCCCCTCTTGTTTTCCATCACTATGAATCCTTCTCAATTTCCTTCCATGCTATCACTTTTGAGACTAATATATTTTGTCTTCTCTCTAAGCAAATGCCGTCAGAAATGTTACCAGACTCACTTACCACTTCCGCTGCCCAAACACCTAGTGGTCTTTGGTTTGGGTGACTGGAGCCGCTATTCTCAGAAGACAAGCATCATTGTGGAAATATTAGTGAATCCAAATGTTAAGCCACAAAGGATTGGCAAGCTGGGGCCTGAAACAAGGTAAATTCTAGATAATTAGTGAATTTTGGTGCCAGTATTGATACTTGTTAGCATGCCAAGTGCTTTCCAAACACACTGTGAGGAAGTTCTTTTAAAAACTGTAAGAGGGAATAAATTCCTTATTTTAAAAACAGGGAATGTGTCCAGGGCCAGCAAAGTCTGGATCTGAACTCAAGACTTCAGGGATCAACATGCTATTAGTTACAGCAGCTGTCATGAAGATGTTGTGCTATTGCAACCTACCAAATCCATTTGTTCTGCTATGGACAGTCTTTAAAGCTTAATAATGTATTGTCAATTTAACTCTATCAGCTATTGAAATAAAAGTGAAATTATCTCAGAGCAAGAAAACAGTGATCTGTGTGTTTTACTCAAGCAGGTGTTTGGTATGGGAAGGTGACTGGCGAGTGGATGTTTTGGTGGCTTCGTTAAAGCAGGAAGAGAATGGTAACCCTGTTAAGCTTCTCTTGACTGTCGAGGAACAGGTAGGAAGGTTTTCTATCTTGTCATTTCTGTACTCCCTGCCTACTGAGACCCATGTGGATTCATTTTTAACATGACCCATATATACAGATAGATATGAAGATGGAAATCTTAAAAGTATCCGTTCCTGTAATGCCACTTGTTAATGAATATTGATGGCCATGTGCCCTGAAAGTTTAAATACTTTGCCTAAAATATAAGTAAAACATCAAATATAGGCCCTAAGTATCTGAGGGAGTCCCTCCTTCTTCATAGACACGTTCAACTGTTGAGCTCTGCAGGGGAGGCACTGCTGGTAGTTTTGCTACCCTATCAAGTTTGTAGGCAGGAATGCATGAGAGGACATTCTCTGTGGTGGCCCCCAGGTTTTGGAATGCCCTCCCCTTCTGGCCTCATCATTATATACATATCAACGCCAGGTCATAATGCACCTTTTGCATATGTTTTTGGGTTGCAGGACGAGTTCAGAATACCCTTCCCACTGTAGCGTTGTTCCTGTTTCCTGACTGCTGTTGATTAGGTTTAATTTATTGCCTAGTAATGTTTGTGTGTTACATAGTTTGCTTGTTGTATTGAGCTGTATGTAACTATCTCTAGAACAAAATGATGCAGCCTGTAAATGCATATAAACAAACAAATCTCACAGATTGAGTAGCTACATGTGAGATACCCCAGCTCTTTGATTTGGGCCTGAAAACTGGTTGGAAGCCAGTGACTACAAAGCGTGGATGAAATATGTTCGTATCTCCCGGTGTCCAGCTTATTTTAAAGGCAGCCCATGTACAGAACATTGCAATTATACAATTAGTACAATAATACAAACCAGGTTGGCCTCCTCATCCACAATTAAATTATGAATAAGGGAGATTTTATTATGGACTAACCTGGCATTTAATAGCAACGCTGACAGGCTCAGGGTCATACCGGTTGCTGCTATGGCAACCATGATCCCTCTGACTGAGGGAGAGACCCAAAGAGGGAACAGATAGATACCCACTCAGTCTACCCTGTTACACAGCCCGTCACATCCTTCAAACCATACCTCCCTCTCTTTAAAAGCCTCCATTGTAGGGGGCTACTCATCTGTGCATTGCCTTTTGACTCAAGTTGCAAGTGTTGTTCTGATGTGTGTGTCTCTCCTCCTTAGCTCCTCAACAGCACCCCTACCCGCCCATTTCAGGCCACAGAGCCTAATCAGTCACCTGTCCTTCCAGAAGATACAGGTCAGCGATTGGATGATCCCCCTGAGGTAGGTTTATAGATAGAAGTCTCCTTTTGGTGGCTTCTTCTCTATTCTCCTAACTGCTTGTTGGTAACTTCTAGGACCATGACCAGTCTACAAGTTACACAGACAGGTAGTGGAATTCTGGAAGCATTATTCCTACTGAGGGAATGGGGAAGAGGAGGAGAGTACAGTGGAATCTCGGGTTACGTACCATCCTCCTTACGAACACTTCGGGTAACAAGCTCCGCTAACCCGGAAGTAGATGCTCCTGGTTGTGAACTTTGCCCCGGGATGCAAGTGGAAGTCATGCATCGGTGGCGCGGTGGCAGCAGGAGGCCCCATTAGCGAAAGCGCGCCTCATGTTAAGAACGGTTTCGGGTTAAGAACGGACCTCCGGAACGAATTAAGTTTGTAACTGGAGGTACCACTGTAATTCTATTCCCCACACCAGAGAGAGGACTACATGAAACCTTTCTGCCTATCCTCTACATGCAGGGATGTTTGTGTTTTGTTTTGTGTGGGAAAGTGTACAAAAATATATCTGCATCTACAATCTGCGGTGGTTCCTTCCAGATTTCTGCTACCATATTATGTGATCTGTAGGACTGCTTCAGGTCACAGACTTAGAACAATTGCTCAGAGATTGTGTTTGTGATCAAAACTCTGTAGTGGAAACTTCATTTGGCATTTCACACCCAACAAATTTGCAGGTGACGCCAAACTTGAAAGGATAGCTAATGCCTCAGAAGACAGAATCTGGATTCAAGGTAACCTTAATAGATCGGAGAACTGGGCCCAAACTAAGAAAATGAATTTCAGTAGGGACAACTATCAATTTCTACACTTAAGCAGAAATAATTAGCTGCCCAAATATAATGAGGGACACCTGGCTTGCCAGTAGTACATGTGAAAAGGATCTAGGTAGACCAGTGGTCCCCAACCTTGGGTCTCCAGCTGTTTTTGGACTACAAGTCCCATCATCCCTCACTACCAAGACCAGTGGTCAGGGATGATGGGAATTGTAGTCCGAAAACAGCTGGAGACCCAAGGTTGGGGAACACTGAGGTAGACCACAAGCTGAACATGAGTCAACAGTGTGATGCAGCAGCAAAAAAAGCTAATACAGTGGTACCTTGGGTTAAGTACTTAATTCGTTCCGGAGGTCCGTTCTTAACCTGAAACTGTTCTTAACCTGAAGCACCACTTTAGCTAATGGGGCCTCCTGCTGCCGCCGCGCCGCCAGAGCACTATTTCTGTTCTCATCCTGGAACAAAGTTCTTAACCTGAAGCACTATTTCTGGGTTAGCAGAGTCTGTAACCTGAAGCGTATGTAACCCGAGGTACCACTGTACTATTCTAGGCTGCTTCAACAAATGTAGAGTGTCTGGATCAAGGGAAGTAATAGTACCGCTCTATTCTGCCTTGGTCAGACCACACCTGGAATACTGTGTCTAGTTCTGGGTATAACAATTTAAGAAGGCTATAGACAAGCTGGAATGTATGCTGAGGAGGGCAACCAAGATGATCAAGAGTCTGGAAACCAAGCCTTATGAGGAAGATTGAGCAAGTTGGGTTCCATGATTCTATAAGTGCTTGGGCCTTTGATGAACCTTGCTGGACCATACCTTCTACTTCCAACAGTGGTTTACCAGATGCTTTGGGGGGAAACTCTCAAGCTGGACAGAACAGGAGCAAAGCATATGGGGTAAGAATAGTCAATATGGGACCCTCCAGATGTTGGGCAACACAACTCCCAGTTCCAGCAAGTATGGCCAATGGTCAGGGCTGATAGGAATTGTAGTCAACAACATCTGGAAGACACCACGTTGGCTACCCCTTGTCTAGGGCAGCCCAGGGAAAACTGGAGTTGTCTGTAGCACATGCCTTCAGTGAGCCCTTTTCATTAGGCCCAGTCGTTTTGCTTGAATGATTTCTGATCCCGATCTAATTCTGTTCTTTGTGGAGCAGTCTAAGAATGGGAGTTCAGCGATGCCTGTTAAAGAGCCTGTGCTTGAAAGGAAGGAGTTCTCTCCACCCATGGAAACGCTGCTTATGCTTCCTGCTCCAGAAACAACTGCTGCATCGGTGGACTGTGAGGAGGCCAGGAATAAAACATGTACATCTAATTCAGCTCGCCTAAAGACCAGGAGGGTTCTCTTTGAACTTCTGGCATCCAACAGACAGCAGGAATCTGAAGGTTAGTAAATCTAATAGCAGGAGTGATGTCTAGTTTCCGAGACCAAATTAGCTTGTAATTGTATAGTATTCTGGGACAGGGAGGAGTATTTGTGCTCCCAATGAATGCACAATGTCCAGTCCCACCCCCACCTTATCCTACTAGCTTGGCCTCCTTTTCAGAAACTTTCCAGTGATGATGTAAAATACAAGACTTTAGCACATGCCAGAACCCGCATACATCTAGTCAACACACATTCAGAACGCTCTAATTTGTATGAATTTGTCCTGATGCATAGGAGTTGGGGGAGATACCTAGCAGAGAGTTATATACTTGATGATCTCAATGATGTTTGCATTTGGGCTTGCAGTTTATGGAGACAACCTCCAATCTGTTCTTTAACTTCCTGGTCAGTCATCATTTTCATGCAGTCGAAAAACTGTTGCCAGATTGGCACCAATGGTGGTGTTCCTCCCTGTGCCAAATAATGGCTTTAGCAGGTGACTGCTGATCAGAGCCACAACATGATAGGGAAGAGCTAATCCCACTACATGCTGCAGACCTGATTCTGATAGTGTCTCCCTCACTGCTGGTATTTATAGTTTGAGGGTGGGGTGGGAATCATGCATTACCAATGTTAATGTGTGGTTTGGCCGTCGGTGCGCAAAAAAATGCATGTTAAATTACTGAATGTGCATTCTAAAACATTTTGCCTGATACAGGATGATAACTTCTTTGCTTTTCCAATATGCATTTTCCAATGCATGACCCATTGAAAATCAGTTTGAAGGGAGCATTGCACGAGAATAGTAATCTCTTGGAACATTTTCTCTCTCTGCAGACTTGGAAGTTAAAGAGCTGCAAGGTAAAATACCTGTTCCTTGAACAATTTGTTGGAATTCATTCACTGCTTCCAGAACAGCAGCTCCTAGTAATACCCAGTTACTGCTCTTCCACTGTAATCTACATGTGGCATTGCAACGAACTTCCTGTGTTTTAAGGGTATAGTGGGAGGAATTCCATGTTGTGCTAAGGTGATCATTTTGTCAGGGCAAGCATTTCAGCTTGTTGTAAGGAACAATCCCCCCTCTCCTCTCCCTGTGTGCTGTTCTGGAAGTTCTCCGGATCCCCCTCCCCTTGAGCCAGTTTTGGGGGGCATAGATGGGGAAGTGGGGGGGGGGAGAAGCCTCATTCTGCAAGCAAAGCCCTTGTGCAAGGCTTACATTGACAGAAATCATTAGTTGAATCTCACCCATTAATTCTTGTATGGGGACATCTCACTATGTTCAGTCTACCCTGAGTCCTAGGGTGGGAAAGACAGAATACAACTGAGCCACCTTTTAAAAAGCAGCTATTCTAGAGTTTATTGTTTTAAAGAGCAATTTGGTAATTACTTCCAATAATTCCTTTTAAGAGGTGAAAAAAGTAGCCCAAAGAGCATGGGTCTTAATTAAAAGATAGAACAGAAAAATGACAAAATGGCACATGACTGTAAAGGTAATGGTGCTGGCATGGCTATAGCTTCATTTACCTGCAGTGTCACTGGTGTACCTAAACTGCAGCTCTAGGAAAAGTGGAAGATTAGTTTTAAGACCATCTACATATGCGGAGTTTGCACAGGATTTTCTGTGGTTTGAAGAACAAGAGAAATCACTGGAGGGTATTGATTAGATGATGTCCTTTAGATGCCCTGTAAAAAGTGAGTGAACGAACAATGGCAATTCCACATTAAGGGTAGCATGGAAACAGCCAGAATCAGTCATGTTGTAGGTTTCAGGAGGAAGTTCTCCCAAATGACCCTCCCGCAATGAAATGAGATGCATTCTGTGGTATGTTTCTGCTGCCTCCACTCCTGCATCTCTCTGTAGTATGTCCAAGCCCTCGGTGGTGTCATGCTATGTGCCTGAGCGACCCTGAAACTGCTGTTCTGATTGGTGGCGAAGGAACTAATCAACAGTTTTGCCAAGATGCCCTGTGGAAACTGGAAATTGGTGAGATGCTTCTTTGCTAGCAGTGATGTACATGTTGACACTGTCTGCAACTGATCAGAGGGAAACTGAATTGGAGTCGGTTTTTCCTATATGGGGATTGTAGTTCTTAAATGAGTGTCTGCCATGCCTGGTGATCTGGACTTGAAAGTGGCTGGATCTAACTTGCTTTGCACACTATTTGTGTTCTGGTTAGCAGGGAAGCCAGCTCTCAGCTTTTAGCATGTTGGCGACTACTTTGTGCAACTTTTCCCCCACCCTCTTGCACATCTTGAGTTCATTTCTGTTGCTGATTTCACAGACAATGACTTCTGGTTCCCCATGGATCTCCCAGCACCAGGTTCCATGCCACAGTGTTCAAGGGGCCACAGTGCCACATATGACCCAGAGACCAAGCGCATTTACATCTTCGGGGGTATGAGGGAGGCAAAGCGCTACAGCAACATCCATGTTCTGGACACGGCATCTTGGAAATGGCTGCATGTGTCTGTGAGTCGCAAGAGAAACAAAGCCTTGAGCAACAAAGAGAACAGTTATTATATAAGAGACATCCATTCCTTTATTTGTTTTTAAATTGCATCCCGGTTTTCACCAATGCGATTTACAACAATGTAATATGTGGAATTTGAAACATACACTCCCAAAACCTCAAGAGCAGGGGTCAGCAAACTTTTTCAGCAGGGGGCTGGTCCACTGTCACTCAGACTTCGTGGGGGGCTGGACTATATTTTGGAGGGGAAAATAATGAACGAATTCCTATGCCCCACAAATAACCCAGAGATTAATTTTAAATAAAAGGACACATTCTACTCATGTAAAAACACGCTGATTCCTGGACCGTCTGCCGGCCGGATTTAGAAGGCGATTGGGCCGGATCTGGCCCCCAGGCCTTAGTTTGCTTACCCATGCTCAAGAATTTAGAATCTTAAAAAAAGAGCAGACCATCTGAGAAGGTGTCTTTATTCCTGAGTCTTCCCCACTTTTGTAAGAACCTCCCCTCCATGTAAGAGAGAGTGGTGGATCACAGCTCAGGTGGGGAGCGATTGAGGCAGCTGCTGTCAGGTCTATTAGGAAGGCATTGGAAAGGGGAGGAATCGTGGTCATTGATGCTGCCAGAAACAGAGCTGTCTGTGGTGCTGATTCTAAGTCAGCCTAAAATGCCAGGCCTGTACAGTGACTGGTGATCTCTTCCTTAGGCTAAGGGTAAAGTGCCAACGCTGGCTTACCATAGTGCAACCATCTACCGAAAGGAGCTATTTGTCTTCGGAGGAGCTTTCCCTAAAATGTCGTCTCTGGAGATGGGAGCTTGCAGCAACACACTCTTCGTTTTCAACCCCGAGTATGAGATCTGGTATCAACCCATTGTTGAGGGGGAGAAGCCTTTGCCTAGGCTTGGGTAAGTCTTCTTTGCTTCAGTGAAGAGAATATCTTAGTGCTAATTTCTTGATTTTTCTCACTGCAGTGTGATATTGGACAACTCCTTCATTTCTCTCATTTTTATTTTATTTCCTTGGCGGTTGGAAATAGCGTAATTAGTGCTTTCTTTGAAAACACTTGTACATTTTCCTGCGGGTATTTACTTTGTTTGATAGTGCTATGATGCCAAGGGAGTCTGTGTAAACTCCGCCCCTCAAACTGAGGGCCCCTCAGAAACCTCCTATCTTGTTCACATACTAAGTGCATTCAGACATCCTCTCTGCCTGGAATTCCTTGGGAGTGTTTTATTCTCAACTAGAGCCAGGGCTTTTTCGGCTGTGGCTCCGATCTGGTGGAACACTCTGTCACAAGAGACCAGGGCCCTGCGGGACTTGACATCTTTCCGCAGGGCCTGCAAGACAGAGCTGTTCCACCAGGCCTTTGGCCAAGGCACAGCCTGACTCCCTCCTTCGGCAATCTTCGCGGAGCTCTGGCCCAATGGTTGCCATTGGTTTGATTTGAATTAATTTTATAATGTATGATTTTAGAGTGTTGTGTTGTGTTGTGTTGTGTTGTACTGTTGTACTGTTTTATTGTTGTTAGCCGCCCTGAGCCTGGCTTCGGCTGGGGAGGGCGGGATATAAATAAAAATTATTATTATTATTATTATTATTATTATTATTATTATTATTATTATTATTATTATTCTCTCACACCCCTGTTCCCAGAATGAAGCTTACAATGCCATTTTTAAAACTCTGTGCAGTAGAAGGCAAGACTATGGCTTGGATACAAGGTGTCTCGTGTGGGCTGCATAACTTTATTGCATGCTGTGAGGGGGCATGCAGTTTCAGGATCAGCTTGCAGGGGTCTGTCACATATGGGAGAGAAGTATGAGAGCCTCATTTCACAAGTGGAGTGGGTGCCTCTTGCAGGTTTTAGGATCAGGCTCATATACTAATATTGATAACACCTGTGTAAATCTTGACAAAAGTTTTCCTTACCTCCAGCATGGGAGTTTGTGTTTTGGCTAAAGACTTTTCAGTTCTCTTAATCAGAGAATTCACAAAACCTGTTGGTCAAGAGAAGGAATTAATAGAAGCTTCTTCTCATTTTGCAGAGATCAGCTTAGGAGTTGGATCTATAGGTCTCTGGACCAAATTACACATTCATAGAATCATAGAATCATAGAATCATAGAGTTGGAAGAGACCACAAGGGCCATCAAGTCCAACCCCCTGCCAAGCAGGAAACACCATCAGAGCACTCCTGACATATGGTTGTCAAGCCTCTGCTTAAAGACCTCCAAAGAAGGAGACTCCACCACACTCCTTGGCAGCAAATTCCACTGTCGAACAGCTCTTACTGTCAGGAAGTTCTTCCTAATGTTTAGGTGGAATCTTCTTTCTTGTAGTTTGGATCCATTGCTCCGTGTCCGCTTCTCTGGAGCAGCAGAAAACAACCTTTCTCCCTCCTCTATGTGACATCCCTTTATATATTTGAACATGGCTATCATATCACCCCTTAACCTCCTCTTCTCCAGGCTAAACATGCCCAGCTCCCTTAGCCGTTCCTCATAAGGCATCGTTTCCAGGCCTTTGATCATTTTGGTTGCCCTCCTCTGGACACGTTCCAGTTTGTCAGTGTCCTTCTTGAATTGTGGTGCCCAGAACTGGACACAGTACTCCAGGTGAGGTCTGACCAGAGCAGAATACAGTGGCACTATTACTTCCCTTGATCTAGATGCTATACTCCTATTGATGCAGCCTAGAATTGCATTGGCTTTTTTAGCTGCCGCGTCACACTGTTGGCTCATGTCAAGTTTGTGGTCAACCAAGACTCCTAGATCCTTTTCACATGTACTACTCTCAAGCCAGGTGTCCCCCATTTTGCCTCTCATTTTTTTTGCCCAAGTGCAATACTTTAATAGATAATAGATAATAGATAAGGAAACTACACCGAAGGAACTATCCGCTAAACAACCCACTAACCCCTTAAACAACACCATCACGAGACCAAAAGGTCCCAAAAAAGTTCCAACTAAGCCCATTCAGGCGGAAGACTGCATCAGAGAACAAGAAAACCATCTCTCTGAATTACTACTTGAACACTCTACCACGTTAGACCTAGTGGCTAAAACCGTGGGAGAGCCAGTTTGGTGTAGTGGTTAAGAGCGGTAGTCTTGCAATCTGGGGAACCGGGCTCGCGTCTCTGCTCCTCCACATGCAGCTGCTGGGTGACCTTGGGCCAGTCACACTTCTCTGAAGTCTCTCAGCCCACTCACCTCACAGAGTGTTTGTTGTGGGGGAGGAAGGGAAAGGAGAATGTTAGCGCTTTGAGACTCCTTCGGGTAGTGATAAAGCGGGATATCAAATCCAAACTCCTCCTCCTCCTCCTCCTCCTCCTCCTCCTCCTCCTCCTCCTCCTCCTCTTCTTCTTCTTCTTCTTCTTCTTCTTCTTCTTCTTCTTCTTCTTCTTCATGACTGTTATGGTTCTGGACAGTTAAGAGTTAACACTCCAGGAGCGTTCTTATTAACTGGGTGCACTGCCCACATGACACGGGCATTTTCCTTTGATCTGTGCTCTCTGGGGGCTGCTGAGAACAGTCCGTCTGAGAAAGTGAGCAAGGTAGTTTGTTTTGTTAGAGACAGAAAGCTGCAAGCATGCAGCTAGATTCTGTAGGTTTTTCTTTTCTGTTTTTGTATGCTTCTAAATAAAGAGTGATGGGACATGGGTGGCGCTGTGGGTTAAACCAGAGAGCCTAGGACTTGCCGATCAGAAGGTCAGAGGTTCGAATCCCCGCAATGGGGTGAGCTCCCGTTGCTTGGTCCCTGCTCCTGCCCACCTAGCAGTTCGAAAGCACAAGTAGATAAATAGGTACCGCTCTGGCGGGAAGGTAAACGGCGTTTCCGTGCGCTGCTCTGGTTTGCCAGAAGCGGCTTAGTCATACTGGCTACATGACCGGGAAGCTGTACACCGGCTCCCTCGGCCAATAAAGCGAGATGAGCACCGCAACCCCAGCGTCGGTCATGACTGGACCTAATGGTCAAGGGTCCCTTTACCTTTACCTTTAAGAGGCTTCCAGTTGCCTTCTGAGTTAAGGCTGTGGCAGATCCCGACCCACCTCTGTCCCTCCTTCTCTCACCTGCCTCTAGGGCACGGATGTCATTCCCTTGCTGACCTCTGTGCTGAAAGACCCCGAATGCTTCAGTGACCCCGAGAACTTCAACCCAGCCCACTTCTTGGATGAAGAGGGTCGCTTTAAGAAGAATGATGCCTTCATGCCCTTCTCCACAGGTACCGGGCTGAGGAGGGCAGGAGGGAGGCATTCATAGGTTAATTGGTGAGGGTACTTGGCCTGACTCAAATGCTATTTCATCCCTCAAATCTCCCTCTCATAATCTACAGTTGGTACCTCGGGTTACATACGCTTCAGGTTACAGACTCCGCTAACCTAGAAATAGTGCTTCAGGTTAAGAACTTTGATTCAGGATGACAACAGAAATTGTGTCCGGCGGTGCAGCGGCAGCAGGAGCCCCATTAGCTAAAGTGTGCTTCAGGTAACGAACAGTTTCAGGTTAAGTACAGACCTCCAGAACGAA